AGGAGTATTTGTGGCACCTTAGAGACTAACAAATTTATTCTGTCTATAAGGTGCCACAAGTACTCCAGTTCTTTTTGCAGATACAGACTAACACGGCTGCTACTCTGAAACCTATATTATAACGTTTAGCCACTAGGTGGTACCATGAATAACATACCTGTCCCAGGACTTCTCCTGGGGTAGAGCAGTTATATGGCTCTTCTCACTCAGGGTCAGGGCTGAACCTCCAGGAAGAATCGAGCCCTCAGAGAGAGACTTTGGCTTGGACAACACAACTCTTTTCATTTGTTGATTTTTAAACTTAACAACAGCAAAAGTGCTCTTATCTTGGATGTGAAGGTGGGGTGATCTGTTAGATTTAATCATGCATTAGGAATGCATTTACTTTAAGAAGACTTGTCAATCACACATTCAATACTCAGAATTAGTGGGAATGTCAATAATTTCTGGTAAGGACAGAAGTTGAAAACACCCACTCTTCAGGACCAGGAACCTTTATCTGCACTCTCACAAGCTAATCAATGAATAGCTCAAACACAGGGACATAGTGATGAATTAGTCATTAATAAACTTTAATTGTGTTTGTAACTGAACATAAAAAGAATAATCAGTGGGGAAATTATACTTTGACTACTCAGTTACTCAATTGTCAACCTTTGTACATATCTATAGCAAATAAATCACGGATGCAGTAGAGTGTTCAGAAGCATTCAGATTAAACCATTTACATTGCAGACCAAACAAGTAGCGAACTATAGCAATAGCATCAAAGAATGCAGGTGAGTGTATAAAATTATTGTCCAGAATTTAAGTATATTGTATAGAAGAATTCAGGCACATGCCAGGACATGTAAATGTCTCAGCTGGATTCCAGTACACTTCTCAAATAGCTGTTTGTTGAAAAGCATTCTGCATGGAAGCATACAAATGAACAGTAACACTTAGCATCAGATGCAACATTAGTCTTTCAATTATTCAAATAATTTAATTCCAAATGTCCTTAAAAATTAGAGCAAAAGTGATGTCTGCAGTGTAGTCAGCTACAAATTGTGAGTTTCCTGCTGTGACACTTGTGGGGTTTGGTGGGGTTTCTATAAATTTGGCCTAGCTGCAGCAGTTCATGTTAATTTTGGAATGACTCTCCTTGGGTCTTACAATGCTATTTAGTATTAAAATAGAGGGAAAGGACAAGGTGAGACAAAAAGAAAAGGGGACATCCTCACAGTGATCTCACTGACTTTGGCTAAAAGCCCTGACAAAATCCCACAGATTTGTGGGAAAATTCTGTGCAAATGTTGCCTAAATTTCCCTCTGATTTCTGTTGACCCTCCCTGTTGATAAAAATATGATCCAGTACCTATGAAAGTCAACGGACTATCAGTCAATTTCAATTGGCATTGGATTAATCCCCCTAAGTGTTGTGCATTATTTGCCTGATCCAAAGCCCATTTGCTTCGCTGGGTTTTGGATTATAACCTATTAGTTAAAGTCCGTTGTCTTCGGTGGGAGCTATGGATGCTCTGAAATTAGGCCATACGCCTTACTTAAAGTCACACAGGTCCTGATCCACAGTGGTACTTAAAAGAACAGGAGTACTTGTGGCACCTTAGAGACTAACAAATTTATTAGAGCATAAGCTTTCGTGGCCCACAAAAGCTTATGCTCTAATAAATTTGTTAGTCTCTAAGGTGCCACAAGTACTCCTCTTCTTTTTGCGGATACAGACTAACACGGCTGCTACTCTGAAACCTGTCATTATGCAAGTGGTACTTAGAGACCCATTCCAGTAGGCAGCCTCTGAGCACACCTACTTGATTGGACCGCACACATGAATCAAGTACAGGATTTTGCCTTCTATGTCTGTCTTCTGATAGTTGGCAACCAAGGGCACAAGCAGCTTACACACAGTACTGGCTGGGTATATCAGGCCTCTGCAATGCTTAATGGGGGAACAAAAAGGTGCATGAACTCTGATAATGCTTTATTTCTTCCTTGCTTTTTCACTTTTACATTTTTCCCATTAAACTTGTTTTTCAACCTTTGATTCCTAGCCCCGTTTTCTTCTTGTTCAAGTGAAATAGCAGAGAAAAGCATTGAGCCTTGGTATTGTGGGAAGGGAAATCCTGTTTTTTCCTGACTATTCATAACAGGCAATTCCATTTTTGTTTCTGTGACCCAGCTCCAATGATAGCAGTGATGCACTGTTGGACTTCCCTGCGGAGGTTCTAGGTAGCTGAATTTGAGCTTTTATGTAAAGGGGATTAGGACCATTAGCAACCCAAGAACTGCATTTGCAAGGTTTGGTGAATGAACCGCACACAAACTAAAATTGTCAGTGTTCACACACTTCTAGTTGTTACTTGATCACCAAGGCCTACAGGTAGCAGTTTCCATGTAACCAATTTATGATGGTGGCATCTAGTAGTTAAACTAGGAAACCAGGACTCATTGTTCCTGGCTTTGCCAATGACTTATCATCGGGTTACTTAAATTCTCTGTGCCTTGCTTCAGCCATCTGTGTTGTGAGACCTAATTAGATGTTTGTAAAGAACATTGACCTACTCAGATGAAGCAAAGCGCTATAGAAATGCAAAACAATATACTACTATTAGTAATTATTAAAATATAGGTTTAGCCAAGAAAAAGGAAGCCTTTAAAACCATGAACCCATATAACTCATTTAACAAATACCCTTCTATAGAGTTCACTGCTTCATTTCTGCTGTCCATATCTGGTAAAGGGCTATGAAGTGAACAGTTTTTTTCTAAACACTAATTAGAATCTTTCCTTTAATTCATTTTTTACACTTGTGTGGTTCTTTCATTCTTAAGCTTTTGAGGCCTATCTGCTCAAATTATAGCACTAGTTCTAACTAATTTCTTTCCTTCTGGTTTTGCTTATACTAGGGGAAAAAGTTGTTTTTTTTAAACCCTAGTGTAGGCAAGTTATATGTTCACATATTAGCTAGTCTAGGTGGACACCAGGGATTTATTCAAAATGTCAAAACCATGCTTGGAAAGGCTTAGCCATGTGTGCAAGTAAGGATATCACTATCCTACAATCAGGGGAGTGATTGCAGTATGTGTAGACACATGGTTTGGTCTAGCTATCAGTGAAACTGTGGCAGCATGGACTTCAGTTTGGTTTGTACAAGCCCATCTGAAACCCCTGTGTAATTCAGCCCATACTGAAATCTGTGCCACTGAGCCTTCACTAGGTACTCATGATAGCTAAATTAAAGCTAGATCAGGTATGTCTATACATGCTACAGTTACACCTCTGATTGTGGTATAGACATATCCTAAGACAGTCATTGAATCAAGGCTCTAGGACAAGGGTGGGCAAACTACAGCCCAGGGGGCCACATTTGGCCCTTCAGACGTTTTAATCCGGCCCTAGAGCTCTCGCCGGGGAGCGGGATCCAGGGCTTGCCCCGCTCCGCGCGTGCCGTGGCTCTGCGCGGCTGCCGGAAGCAGCGGGATGTCCACCCTTCTGCTCCTACGTGTAGGGGCAGCTAAGGGGGCTCCGCACGCTGCCCCTGCCCCAAGCGCCACTTGTGCAGCTCCCATTGGCCAGGGTTCCCGGCCAATGGGAGCTGCAGGGGCGGTGCCTGTGGACAGGGCAGTGCACAGAGCTGCCTGGCCACGCCTCCACGTAGGAGCTGGAGGAGGGACATGCCGCTGCTTCTGGGAGCTGCTTGAGGCCTGCACCCCGACCCCCTCCTGCACCTCAACCCCCTGATCTCCCTCCTGCCCTCTGTGCCCCTTGGTCCCAGCCCAGAGCACTGCCCCAACCCCTCATTCCTAGCCCCACCCCAGAACCCACACCCCCAACTGGAGCCCTCACCCCCCCCACACACACACCCCAACCACCTTCCCCAGTCCAGAGCCCCCTCCCACACCTTGAACTCCTCATTTCTGGCCCCACCCCAGAGCCATCACCTCCTCCTGCACCCCAACCCCCAATTTTGTGAGCATTCATGGCCCGCCATACAATTTCCATACTCAGATGTGGCCCTTGGACCAAAAGATTTGCCCACCCCTGCTCTAGGAGGCAGCCGTTTACAGCTCCCTAGGGGCAGCTTTTCTGATAAAACTGGATTCTCAAGGTGTGGGGTTCCCAGACTTTATTGTATTGCAGCTCCCTTCCAGGATTTTAAAACTAGATGGCTCCTCACAACCAAATAACTTTTTTTAACCAACTCAAGACACTAGCTTCAAGGATATTGACTTAAGGAGTTAAAACACTTTTGCAACTACTTATAGTTTAGAAAAATAAGCACCTATCCCTCCCTCCCTTCCCCTGTCTGCTGGTGCTGGTCAGCACTGGGAGCCTCACTTTGCCTTTACTCTAGGGGGGGCTTTCAATCAAGAGCTTTCCTATGGGTGCTTCCCCCAGCAGGGAGTCTCTCTGCTGAAGTCCCCACACTCCAGGGGGCACAGAGCAGTTCCAGTGCCCATAGATAAAGTGATTTTAAGCCTAGTTTAATGGTCTCATCATCAGAAAAGAACACAGACTGGCATATTAATTCCCCCCCCCCCCCCCAACGCTGGTGGCTTCCCCACGAGGCCTTGGTAGGGCCCCAGAGAGCTGTGGCTCAGTCTGGGAAACGCAGAGCTAGGCATTGGGCGAGATTGTGGCTTTCCTGCCACACATGCACCACCCAAGGAGGAGCACAGGAGCGGCCTCTATTTACCCCCGTCCTCCTTAAGTCCCCTTTTTGCCCACGTCAGCCAGGCCCTTCCTGGGCCCTGCCCCGTTTGTGACCCACGGGCCCTATTTCCACACCCCGCAGATGGCAGGTAAGGGCAGACTAGTTAGGGCAACGGCTTCCAACGTTGCAATTGAGCGTGCGCAAAACACTCGCGCATGCTCAGTTACACCAAGGGGGGGGCGAACAATATCCCGGATGCTTGATTATTACTGAGCATGCTCGGAAAGTTCGCGCATGCTCCGTCGCTGCACCGGCCTAGCTGGGTGAGCGCAGTTAGGGGCTTTGCGTGTAGTGCGACTGCGCAGTTCGTGGGTTCGGGGCGTTTGAAGGAAGTAGTCGTCCCCCACCGCACGTGGCGGGATTAGGGAAGCGCGAGCCCGCGTGTGTGGGTTTCGCGCCTGTCACCGCTGGCAACGGGACACGTAAGGAGGGAATGTCGGGCCGGGAGCCGCGGAGAGAGGAGGAGGGGGCGAAGCTGCACCAGAAGGAGGAGCTGAACCGAAAGGTGAGGGTGTGGCGCGAATGACACTCGCGCACGCGGCCCTCACGAGACCGGAGAAGAGAAACTGGTCCCGTTCCGGTTGGGGTCAGCGCGGGAGGAGTGGGGCCCCCTGTCGGCTGGGAGGGCGGGGCCCAGTGGGGGGAGGTGCTGCGGGGGGGAGGGGCACCAGCATGATGTCATCTTGCTTATTTGGCTTCATCACTACAAGAGCGTTCGCAGTGATGTCACGCTGCAAGGTGTAACGTCATAGTGCCGCCACAGCGAATCAGGATGTTCCATTGGCCCTGGAAATACTTTCAGGGAAATCGTGTGACATTGGGCGCTTGCTGTGAAAATGGGGGTGCAGGGCAGCAGGATTATAAGGGTGATGACTTTATTTTTACCCGCAGGAAAAAATGAGAGATTCAGTACCACTAAAAAGCAGAGATTTCTTTAGCTTTTTAAATTTTCACAGTAGAAAAACTTCCACCGTAATTTGGCCCTAATTAATGGCCTTAGTGGCAGTGTTAGTGAAGGGCTAAATGGACATATTGGTAGAACTACTTTGTCATGCCTACTGTTGATCATTCCAAGCTTGAGACACACATGGTCAGGGAATTGTGGGTTATCTTATGCTGCAGCTGCTCATCCCATACAAGCTCCATGGAGACATAAAATATTTTAGCCTCTGGAGTTGTCTTTCTGGCCTTCTTCACAAACACTAAATATTTACTGTAGAGACAATAGTGTCATCAGTCTGTAGTCTGTTAAATCCCAAGGAACCTCCTTCACTCTCCTTTTGTAAATTTACTGCTTCTCCATAGAGTCCTCAGTGGAGGATATTGGTGCAAAATGTGTGCTATGGTTTGATCGCCTAAGAGACAGGAATGGGATCAAAGGTGGATTTATGCCAACTTTGTGACTTCCAAATTCTGGAATCAGTTAAGGTACTGTTCAGTCCATGGCATAAACTAGAGGAGATGCTGTGTTGTTCTAGTTTATGTCCAGTTGCCTATGGCCACAAGGGCCATTCTTGCAGCCTGTAATAGCTGAAGTGTAGAGGTTCTTTGGTCTTTTTTCCAACAGTGACCCATATATCAGGGAAAGAAGGTGTGGACAGTTCTGCACCCCAAAGATTCCCCCTGCCCTAGAGGCATTTCCAGGAAATTGAAAAAATTGGCTTCACAGTTCTTTGTACTGTTGCGTGCTTCAGAGTGACAAAGAAGTTAGAAAAATCGTGAAGAAACCCATTTTTTCCCCTGAAAAGAAAATCCCACAAAACAGATTTTTCATGTGCTGTTGTTGCATTAACCTCACTGAAATTCTCCTGATTTATACCAGAATAATTCAGAATCTAGTTCATAGCCTGTTCTGTCATCCCCGTTGATTACAAAACATACCATATTTGCCTACATAGTAACCCCATCTACAAGAGTAGTAGGCTTTATTAGGGTCCGGTGCAAAGCTCATTGAAAGCAATAGAAAGACTCCCATCGATTTCAGTAGGTTTTGGAATCAGGCCCTAGATGTGCAGTAGTGATCACACGCAATTGTGGAGAAAAAGATGCAGGTTGTATACAAATTACCTCCCTTCTAAAGCAGGTATTTGAAAATGTGATTTACTCCCTCCTGGTTTGCTGGCTCAGACTTCTACAGACACCTAGTTTTTGAGATCAAATTAATTTCAGAAAAATTGACTTCCATTTCTATCAGTCATATGCCCTAGAATATCTTACTGGTTATGTTTATATTGGCTATGGAAACAGCATCTTTCATGTCTCAGTTTACTTTCCATTCTTTACTCCATCACTTTTTTATCTAATTTCTCCTGGACCTGTCAGAGTAAGACAAACATTTGCATCTACCTATCTGAAAACATGGGTTGGAGTGTTAATAGTGGGTTATAACATACTGATTTATTTGTCATAAATCTAGAGTTTTATTATGTTTTTCAGATTAAAGAGCAGAAAGTTGTAGTTGATGAGCTTTCCAACTTGAAGAAGAACCGGGTGAGTGATTACAAAGTGGTTTTTTAGCAATTCATTTTTTGCATTAGATAAATCGCCTTGTCCGGAGCTTGTCCTCGTCCGTCCTTCCACAAACGCAAGTTGACGCCACACCATTCTGTTTTATTACGAGCACGTTCTTTCCATTTCTGGCCAAAGAGTTTTGTCATGGGATCAGCCCCGCGCATTTCCGGTCTGCCCAGCGGTCACTTGTGGTCTCTGTGGTCTGTTGTCTTGCCTGCGGACTACATGACCTGCCCATCTCCGCTTTGCGTCGTACATCGCCTGCACTACATCAGTCACCTCTGTACACCTTCCGATCTCATTCGGTATGTGATCCCAGAGCAATATCTTGCACATTTGCCTTTCCATTGCTCTCTGGGTGACAGCGAATTTTTCTTCCTCCGCTTTTGTCATTGACCAGCTTTCCACTCCATATATCATTGCTAGCAGAACAGTGGATTTAAACAGTTTTTTACCTTTTCTTCATGGGCAGTTCATCATCAGTTAGAGATGTCTTTATTTTGTTGAAACTTTCCCGCCTTTCTCCTCCTGCTGCATTTCCCTTCAAATGAATTGTCTCTGTTCAGCTGCTGACCCAGATAAATATATTTGTCAACCTCCTCGATTACTTCCCCATTTACAGTGATGATTCCTGCTTCAAATGCTCATTCCGCATCCACTTAGTCGTTGACGTGTTCACTTCCAACCCGATATCATGCGAAAGTGTTTGCAGTTGCTGCAATTTTCTCTCTAAGAACATAAGAATGGCCATACTGGGTGAGACCAAAGGTCCATCCAGCCCAGTATCCTGTCTACCGACAGTGGCCAATGCCAGGTGCCCCAGAGGGAGTGAACCTAACCAGGTAATGATCAAGTGATCTCTCGCCTGCCATCCATCTCCACCCTCTGACAAACAGAGGCTAAGGACAGCATTCCTTACCCATCCTAATAGCCATTAATGGACTTAACCTCCATGAATTTATCTAGTTCTCTTTTAAACCCTGTTATGGTCTTAGCCTTCACAACCTCCTCAGGCAAGGAGTTCCATAGGTTGACTGTGCGCTGTGTGAAGAAGAACTTCTTTTTATTTGTTTTAAACCTGCTGCCCATTAATTTCATTTGGTGGCCCCTAGTTCTTATATTATGGGAACAAGTAAATAACTTTTCCTTATTCACTTTCTCCACACCACTCATAATTTTATATACCTCTATCATATCCCCCCCAGTCTCCTTTTTTCCAAGCTGAAAAGTCCTAGCCTCTTTAATCTCTTCTCACATAGGACCCGTTCCAAACCCCTAATCATTTTAGTTGCCCTTTTTTGAACTTTTTCTAATGCCAGTATATCTTTTTTGAGATGAGGAGATCACATCTGTACACAGTATTCAAGATGTGAACGTACCATGGATTTATATAATGGCAATAAGATATTCTCAGTCTTATTCTCTATCCCTTTTTTAATGATTCCTAACATCCTGTTTGCTTTTTTGACTGCTGCTGCAGATTGCGTGGATGTCTTCAGAGAACTATCCACGATGACTCCAAGATCTCTTTCCTGATTAGTTGTTGCTAAATTAGCCCCCATCATATTGTATGTATAGTTGGGGTTATTTTTTCAAATGTGCGTTACTTTACATTTATCCACATTAAATTTCATTTGCTATTTTCTTGCCCAGTCACTTAGTTTTGTGAGATCTTTCTGAAGTTCTTCAGTCTGCTTTGGTCTTAACTATCTTGAGCAGTTTAGTATCGTCTGCAAACTTTGCCACCTCACTGTTTACCTCTTTCTCCAGATCATTTATGAATAAGTTGAATAGGATTGGTTCTAGGACTGACCCTTGGGGAACACCACTAGTTACCCCTCTCCATTCTGAAAATTTACCATTATTCCTACCCTTTGTTTCCTGTCTTTTAACCAGTTCTCAATCCATGAAAGGATCTTCCCTCTTATCCCATGACAACTTAATTTACATAAGAGCCTTTGATGAGGGACGTTGTCAAAGGCTTTCTGGAAATCCAAGTACACTATCTCCACTGGATCCCCTTTGTCGACATGTTTGTTGACCCCTTCAAAGAACCCTAAAAGATTAGTAAGACATGATTTCCCTTTACAGAAACCATGTTGACTTTTGCCCAACAAGTTATGTTCTTCTGTGTGTCTGACAATTTTATTCTTTACTGTTGTTTCAACGAATGTGCCCGGTACTGACATTAGACTTACCGGTCTATAATTGCTGGGATCACCTCTGGAGCCCTTTTTAAATATTGGCGTTACATTAGCTATCTTCCAGTCATTAGGTACAGAAGCCGATTTAAAGGACAGTTCATAGTTCCGCAATTTCACATTTGAGTTCTTTCAGAACTCTTGGGTGAATGCCATCTGGTCTTGGTGACTTGTTAGTGTTAAGTTTATCAATTAATTCCAAAACCTCCTCTAGTGACACTTCAATCTGTGACAATTCCTCAGATTTGTCACCTACAAAGGACGGCTCAGGTTTGGGAATCTCCCTAACATCCTCAGCCGTGAAGACTGAAGCAAAGAATTCATTTAATTTCTCCGCAATAACTTTATCGTCTTTAAGTGCTCCTTTTGTATCTCGATCATCCAGGGGCCCCACTGGTTGTTTAGCAGGTAGATAAACGAAGGTGGGAAAGCATGAGAAAACAAACACTTCAAAATAGCTGATGCTCACTATGAGTCTGACATTTTTTAAGACAGCATTTAGTTATTGTTATATTGATATTATTAACCTAGTTTACACTCCTTGTCAAAGAAGATTTATTTTCCAGGAAGTGATCACATCCAGTTTTGTGGTAGTGATGGAAGTGTAGCACATCCTAGATCAAAGTAAAACACTTGAGTACCCTTTCCAACACATCTCAATTCTTCAAGCCAAAAAGAAGACAACTCTTACTGTACATTTTCTAAGTGGTGAGGGAATTACTCTCCATATTACATTCAGAACTAAGCTGTGCAGGAATTGGTTTTTATCAGGGGAAATACCAAATTTTTATGTCAAACCCATAATATTTGTCACAGATTTTTTCAGATTTTGAAGGCAAAAGTTGTTTAAAGTTGCTTTTAAAAATACAAAAGAAGACCTTCTCCGCTGTTATCCTCCTCTATAAACCCCTTGAGTTTTATGACCATTACGCAATGGTGAAGGGCTGTAGATAGAAATGAGAAAACAGATGTTATGTGCACTGATAAGCAAATAAATACTTCACTTTTCTTTAAGCATAACTTTTATATTGGCTAAAACTCCCAGATAAAGATGTATAACCTACATGAAGGAGAAATATCTGCTCCCGTTTTAATATCTAAGAAAAGCAGGACAGCTTTTCCATGACTACTTCAAAATGATTGTGTTCTGATATTTATCAGTTTTTCTGTATAGCTATCAGTCTGATTAATCAGTGTCTAAAGTTCGTAAAAGAAAAATTAATTTAGTTTCTCTTTGGATCAGCACAATTTGTTTTGCTATTAATCATATCCATCATGTGTGAGATTTTCAGAAGTCCTTACCATTGGCCTAGCTACTTTCTTTGAAATAAGAGAGATTTACCATTAATTTTGAGGGGAGCAGAGTTAAGCCAATACTGAGCATGTGTGAAAATCCTACCCTATATGCACAAGTTAACCCTATCTTTATTTTTAAAAAGGTTTTAACTATTTACAAATGTCATCTACAAAACATATGTCAATGACGACACTTTATTTTCAGAGATATCTTATGCATTACCTACCAACTATCTAATTTCAACAGTGCATAGAAAAATTGACAATCAATGTAAATGGACTTACACGTTCTTAAAAATAAATCCTTCAAGGTGCAGGTAAATTATGCAGAAACGTGTAAACAATTCCTGACAAAAGCAGAATTAGTTTGAGCCATGGATAGCTCAGGATTGATAATGGGTCTATGTCAAATAAGATGAATTTTTTTCTTGGTACAGTTATTAGTGAACATGTTCACATCAGAGGTGGCACCACTGGCTGACTCATTGGCAGTTTCAACAGAGAGTATGGAAGAGATGGGGGATGGATACTGAAGCACATTGGAGGGGGAGTGTAAGAAAGCATATACCTGCCACTTCTGGTCCGTTTGCTCTGTGGATAGAGGACTTCAGTCTCCAGGGCTCTCCATCTGAAGTTTCACAAACACACTTCACCTCCCTCTCCCCCCCCCCTTTGTGTGTGTGTCTCTATAGTATGCCAATTGAGACTGCTATCTCGTGTTTTGGTTAACTTTTCAGGATTAAATGTACAGTAGGTATGATATGAAATGACAAGTTTTGTTCCCTATCACCATGACTGAATAGTTCAGTGTGGCTTTGTGTACTTGATGAATATCGTGGATACAACTTGATAAAGCATTGTCTTTATGGTATAGTAGAACCTCGTTTTTACAAACCGAGATTTTACAAACCACCAGTTACATGAACCATTTTTCTTGATGGGACAAAGGATCACAACAAAAGAGATGTCAGTGAAGAACAAGTCAACATCCCTTTATATTCTGATGTCTTCAGTGTGTTGGAAATTGCTTTGCAGTTGTTTGAAAGACAAGAAAATGATGCAGTGCATCATACTGCAACTTAGGCACTGTACTGACTAATTTTTTTATGTTCAATTTTATGAACTTCTTGACTTTCTGCATTCAGTCTCCAATTAGTTTGTAACATAGAGGCTCTACTGTATATACAATTTATGTTGGGTCAAATCCTGTAGTTTTTAATCAATCTATTTTTAACTCTCACTGAAGTTTTGAGTGAGTAGAGACTCCAGGACACTGTCAGTATAAATGGTAACCATGTTCTGTTATACATTTTACAACTATAATATGTGTTGCAAAGAATTAACTTTTTAATATTTTTATCTTTTATCCTACATTTTTTTGTATCACATACATCTGTTTTTAGTACAGTGCCTTTTAATGTAGTAAATTGATGGACACTTGCTATTTAAAAGAATGAGAATTTGTGTGTCCTTTTGGCATCAATACTTTCAGTAATGTCTTATCTAAATTGTTGATTAAAATGTCTAAGTTGGCCTGATATTTACCAATATCATGTTAGCCATTCATACGCTAAGTATTCATAAATATGTTTACTTTCAATTTAATTTATATTTGAAATAGTGGCACTTGACTCATCATATGTGAGGGAAGAAGAATATAAAATAGCAGTAGGTAACAATGCTGTGGAGGTAAAACCATTGTCTTGATAACACATTAGGCTTCTGCTATGGATTTGTTATTAACATTAACCTATCCCAATTTCCTTCTTTTTCAGAAAGTTTATAAACAGCAACCAAATAGCAACATATTCTTTCTTGTAGACAGAACAGAAATGCTATCTGAATGCAAAAGTAAGTTCTTAACATACATTGCCGACCAATATTTAAAGGTGGTGTTCGTAACTGAGTAGGATTTCCCATGCAGATCAAAATGAACAATTATAATTTGTTTATTCAAAGCTGTATGATTGCTGTGTTTAATTTGTCTGGATAGGACAGAAGATTAAAGTAATCACAATATTATATATATGCGTGATAAAGTACTTAAAATGAAAAGCTGCCAGTCCTAAAAAAGTAGTAAGGGATGCCAGTAAAAATTATAGTAGACCTAGTGCCCAGTCCTCTGAAGTACAGAGCACCCTCAGCTCCTTTCAGGAAGCAATCAGCATCTTGCAGCATTTGGTCCCATATAATAAGAATAACCTCTGTTTGAAAGTAGCATGGGATAGGGAAGAAAGAAAACTGAAGTTGAACTGGATACCTTAGGGGGCTAGAGGAATGGGCTTGGGGATTATGGAGGTGTGGAGGGTTGAGGATCTAGGACAGAAGCATCTGGAGATAAGGGAGAATGAGAGAGAGACTTGATGGTTAAATAGAGACCAAGAAGCATCAATTAGATGAGAAATCTAGGGTCAGGTGTGGAATGAATTCCAGGATGTAAATGAACTTCGTAATTTCTGGACAGAACAAATGGTGCTTGCTCTTCATTTCTTAGTGTTTTTAGCCAGTTTACACTGAGAAGGCTTTAGTTACGATAGTTCATTGCAGTTTGTTATGATAGTAAAGTGCAAATCTGATATTGACAGTAGCTAGGAGTTCACCAGGTTCTGATACTGGTAAAAGTCTTGTATTTAAAAATGCAGTACAATAATAAGGACTTAGGTTAGAGGGATAGGTTGTAAACTCTTTGGGGCAGGGACTGTCTTTTTGTTCTATGCCTGTAGAGTGCCCAGCATAATAGGGTCCTGGTCCATGATTGAGGCTCTTAGGCTTAGGCACTACAATAATACCAATAATAAAGAATAATTTTGGTACCTGATAAGTCAGTAGTTACACCTAATAGTCCAATCAATGCAAATTTAATGACGCACAATTTTAAAGTTCATGTAAACAACAATGTGCATAAACAATAAGAATATATATCTAAATTTGATTATCTTTAAGGGGGGAAAAGCTGCAATGGGCTGATTTGTGCGATGGTACTGATGCAAACACTTTCATATTTTCTTGTTATGTGTCTTTAAATTTCTGTTGATTGGACTATTAGCTATAATTACTGACTTATCAGGAACCATTATTATTACTATTTATTATTTGTATTATTGTAGTGCCTAAGAGGTCCAGTCATAGAATCATAGGACTGGAAGGGACCTCAAGAGGTTATCTAGTCCAGTCCCCTGGACTCATGGCCTGACTAAGTATTATCTAGACCATCCCTGACAGGTGTTTGTCTAACCTGCTCTTAAAAATCTCCAATGATGGAGATTCTACAACTTTCCTAGGCAATTTATTCCAGTGCTTAACTACCCTGACACTTAGGAAGTTTTTCCTAATGTCCAACCTAAACCTCCCTTGCTGCAATTTAAGCCCATTGCTTCTTGTCCTATCCTTAGCAGTTAAGAAGAACAATTTTTCTCCCTCTTCCTTGAAACAACCTTTTATGTATTTGAAAAATGTTATCATGTCCCCTCTCAGTCTTCTCTTTTCCAGACTGAAAAAATTGGGTTTGTTTAATCTACCCTCATAGGCCATGTTTTCTAGACTTTTAATCATTTTTGTTGCTCTTCTTATCACCTTATTATTTTCTCAGTGTTTGCAAATTGATTGCTTTATTATTTGCTCCATCTCTTTCCAGGTACAGAAGTTAAGCTGACTGGTCTGTAATTCCCTGGGTTGTCCTTATTTCCCTTTTTATAGACTGGCACTATATTTGTCCCTTTCCAGTCTTCTGGAATCTCTCCCGTCTTGCATGACTTTTCAAAGATAATTGCTAATGGCTCAGATATCTCCTCAGTCAGCTCCTTGAGTATTCTAGAATGCATTTCATCAGGCCCTGGTGACTTGAAGACATCTAACTCGTTTAAGTAATTTTTAATTTGTTCTTTCCCTATTTTATCCTCTGATTCTACCTCATCTTCACTAGCATTCACTTTGTTAGATGTCCAATCACCACCAACCTTCTTGGTGAAAACCAAAAACAAAGAAGTCATTAAACACCTCTGCCATTTGCACATTTTCTGTTAATTGTTTTTCCCCTCTCATTGAGTAACAGGCCTACCCTGTCCTTAGTCTTCCTCTTGCTTCTAATGTATTTGTAGAATGTTTTCTTGTTATACATTATGTCTCTAGCTAGTTTGATCTCGTTTTGTGCCTTGGCCTTGTCCCTACATACGTATGTTATGTTTATATTCATCCTTTGTAATTTGACCTAGTTTCCACTTTATCTAGTATTCTTTTTTGAGCTTCTGATTGTTGAAGATCTCCTGGTTAATCTCCTAGGGTCAGTCCTCGGACCGATCCTATTCAACTTATTCATAAATGATCTAGAGAAAGGGGTAAACAGTGAGGTGGCAAAGTTTGCAGATGATACTAAACTGCTAAAGATAGTTAAGACCAAAGCAGACTGTGAAGAACTTCAAAAAGATCTCACAAAACTAAGTGATTGGGCAACAAAATGGCAAATGAAATTTAATGTGGATAAATGTAAAGTAATGCACATTGGAAAAAATAACCCCAACTATACATACAATATGATGGGGGCTAATTTAGCTACAACAAGTCAGGAAAGAGATCTTGGAGTCATCGTGGATAGTTCTCTGAAAATGTCCACGCAGTGTGCAGAGGCGGTCAAAAAAGCAAACAGGATGTTAGGGGATAGAGAATAAGACTGAGAATATATTATTGCCCTTATATAAATCGATGGTACGCCCTCATCTCGAATACTGCGTACAGATGTGGTCTCCTCATCTCAAAAAAGATATACTGGCACTAGAAAAGGTTCAGAAAAGGGCAACTAAAATGATTAAGGGTTTGGAACGGGTCCCATATGAGGAGAGATTAAAGAGGCTAGGACTCTTCAGCTTGGAAAAGAGGAGACTAAGGGGGGATATGATAGAGGTATATAAAATCATGAGTGATGTGGAGAAAGTGGATAAGGAAAAGTTATTTACTTATTCCCATAATACAAGAACTAGGGGTCATCAAATGAAATTAATAGGCAGCAGGTTAAAAACAAATAAAAGGAAGTTCTTCTTCACGCAGCGCACAGTCAACTTGTGGAACGCCTTACCTGAGGAGGTTGTGAAGGCTAGGACTATAACAGAGTTTAAAAGAGAACTGGATAAATTCATGGTGGTTAAGTCCATTAATGGCTATTAGCCAGGACGGGTAAGGAATGGTGTCCCTAGCCTCTGTCTGTCAGAGGGTGGAGATGGATGGCAGGAGAGAGATCACTTGATCATTGCCTGTTAGGTTCACTCCCTCTGGGGCACCTGGCATTGGCCACTGTCGGTAGACAGGATACTGGGCTAGATGGACCTTTGGTCTGACCCGGTACGGCCTTTCTTATGTTCTTAAGCCAGGGTGGTCTCTTGCCATACTTCCTATCTTTCCTACGCAGTGGGGTAATTTGCTCTTGTGCCCTTAATAATGTCTCTTGAAAAACTGCCAACTGTCTTCAGTTGTTTTTCCCCTTAGACTTGCTTCCCATGGGATCTTAGCTACAAACTCCCTGAGTTTACTAAAGTCTGCCTTCTTGAAACCCATTGACTTTATTTTGCTGTTCTCTCTCCTACTACATCTCTACCTCGATATAACGCTGTCCTCTGGAGCCAAAAATCTTACCGCGTTATAGGTGAAACCGCGTTATATCGAACTTGCTTTGATCTGCCGGAGTGCGCATTCCCACCCCCCACCCCACCCCCGGAGCACTGCTTTACCGCGTTATATTGGGTCGCGTTATATCGGGGTAGAGGTGTATTCCTTAAAATCACAAACTCTGCCATTTCATGATCACTTTCACCCAAGCTGCTTTCCACTTTCAAATTCTCAACCAGTTCCTCCTTATTTGTCAAAATCAAATCTAGAACAGCTTCTCCCCTAGTAGCTTTCTGAAAAAATAAATGTCTCCAATACATTCCAAGAACTTGTTGGATAATCTGTGCCCTGCTGTGTTATTTTCCCAACAGATGTCTGGGTAGTTGAAGTCCCCCCTTACCACCAAGTCCTGTGCTTTGGATGATTTTGTTAGTTTCTTAAAGCCTCATCCATCTCTTCTTTCTGGTTAGGTGGTCTGTAGTAGACCCCTACTATGACCCCTTTTATCCTTATCCAGAGACTTTCAACAAGTCTGTCTCCTATTTCCATCTCAACCTCAGTCCAAGTGTATACATTTTTAATATATAAGGCAACATCTCCTCCCTTTTTTCCCTGTCTGTTCTTCCTGAGCAAGCTGTACCATTCGATACCAATATTCCAGTCATGCGTATTATCCCACCAAGTCTCTGTGATGCCAACTATGTCATAGTTGTGTTTATTTACTAGCATTTCGAGTTCTTCCTGCTTATTCCCCATACTTCTCGCATTAGTATACAGATCTAAGCTACTGATTTGATTTCCCCCACCGCCAGTTCTGTCTTTTCTCTCCCTTATCCCTGCTATAACAAACCCATGCTCCACCCAAATTCTGATCCTTCTCTCAGGTCTCCATGTTTTTGACTTACCTGTGGGCTTTGGTCACCTGTCCCCTTCAAACCTAGTTTAAAGCCCTCCTCACTAGGTTAGCCAGTCTGTATCCAAATATGCTGTTCCCCTTCCTCGATAGGTGGACCCCATCTCTGCTTAGCAGTCTTTCTTCCTGGAACTGCATCCCATGGTCAAGGAATCCAAAGCCTTCCTGACGACACCATCTTCTCAGCCAGGCATTCACCTCCAGGAGACATCTGTCTCTGCCTGGGCCCTTACCCTTGACCGGAAGGATCAAAGAGAACACCACCTGCGCTCCCAGCTCCTTCACCCTTACTCCCAGAGCCCTCTAGTCACTTCTGATCTGCTGAGGGTTATACCTCACAGTATCATTAGTGCCCACATGAATGAGTAGCATGAGGTAGTAGGGGAGCATGGGGATGATCCTTGACAGTCCCTCCATAACATCTTGGATACGGGCCCCTGGCAGGCAGCATACCTCCTGGCATGCCATGTCAGGGTGACAGATGGGTGCCTCCAATCCCCTCAGAAGAGAGTCACCAACCACCACTACCCTACGTTTCCTTCGGGGAGTGGTGGCTGCGATCCTCCCAGTCTTGGGGGTACATGGCTTCTCCTCCTCCACCTTTGGGGGTGACTGCTCATCGCTCAGTGCCAGGGCAGCATATTGGTTTTCCATCACCATCGTGGGTGGGTTGGGAGTAGGGATGGAGCACTGCCTGCTGCCAGAAGTAACAAGGAGCCAGTGTCCTCCCTGTGACAGAGCCATATCCTCCTCCCTCGGTGGTGTGACAGCAATCCTCTGTAGCTGGATAGCGTCCTCAGCCTTGGACGTCTCCCTCTGAATACTCTCAAGGAATTGGGCATTGATGCTCCTCAGCCTAGCCACCTCCTCCTGTAGCTCTCCCACCTGCTTCCCGAGAGATTCCACCAGCAGGCACCTTTCACACTGGATGTTCCCCCCCCAGCCTGGCTTTCTGTGAGTGGCCACAATCTCTGCAAATCCACACCAGGATCTGGGTAGAGGCATCCATGGTTAGGTTGTCTGCCTGGATACAGGCTCAGGTGGAGGAGACAGGAGCAATGCTGGCACTGGCGATGTGGCCCTTCCTAACCATAGCGATTTTATTTAGTCTCCCTCCCACAAACCCCCTCTCAAACTCCCCTGTTTGTGGTCCCTTGGTCGCTTAGTCTTTGGCTTTTAAGGCCTTCTCTCCTACATCAGCCCTACCCCCTCATTAATCTCATAGGGGGCAGGTGATCACGAGGCTGATCAAGGATGAGCCAGGGAACGAAGGCTCAAACAGTCTCCAGATACACAGTCCCAACTGACCCTGCAACTGAAATAACCTGAAAGAGAAAGAAAAACCACAAACAGCCAAACAAACTCATTCACCCCAAGATTAGTACTCGCACCTTGTTTGTTCAACAGGGGGATCGCCCCTTCTCAAACTCTCCTGTTTGCGGTCCCCTGTTCGCTAGCTCCCCTTGGTGCTTAGCCTCTGGCTTTTAAGGCCTTCATGGACCAAGATCCTATTGTGCTAGGCACTGTACAAATATAGACCAGAAAGACAGTCCCTGCCCCAAAGAGCTCACTGTCTATCCCTCTAAGTCATTATTATTCTATCACATTTATTAATTTTATTTTTAATATTTTTAATAATTATTAATTTAATTTATTAATTTATTAAAAGAATTTTCAGTGATTATTTATTTCCTCTTTTCTTTTATGCAGACACATTAGATGACCTGAAGAGGGCACATCAGGAGATAGAAAATTCAGAGAAGACCAAAATCAGGAAATAGACCATTTAAATTCTACATAGCAATGTGTGGCATTTGTTGTGTTGTCAGCTTGTCTGTTCAGCACACTATTGGTGGCTTCTTCAAAGATGATCTGCTGTGCAACCTTAGAAGAAGAGGACCTAACAGCAGCCAGCATCTGATAAAGACTTTGTCTGATCTCTCCTACCAGTGTTTGTTTTCTGGCCATATACTTCACTTGAGGGGATTGATGACTCCCCAGCCTCTGACAGACATTGATAACAATGTGTTTCTTTGGAATGGAGAAGTCTTCAATGGAATTCCCATAGGGACAGCAGAGAATGACACTCAAGTTATGTTTCATCATCTTTCATCATGTAGTAATGAATCTGATATTTTGTCACTCTTCTCATCTGTTCAGGGTCCATGGTCTTTTATTTATTATCAAGCATCTAGACACTACTTGTGGTTTGGTAGGGATTATTTTGGTCGTCGTAGTTTGTTGTGGCAGTTTAATAATGAGCTAGACAGGGCTCTCTGTCTGTCGTCTGTAAGTGCTCTTTCTGAATCTGATAACCAATGGCAGGAAGTTCCAGCATCTGGAATTTACAAAATCGATCTCAAGGCCTGTGCTATATCTGAATATTTGGTTTTAACATTATATCCCTGGAAATACCATTCCAGAGAAAATGCAATAGAAGAAAGATTCCTCAGTGGCTTGGATCAGATTTCAAAAGATTTACCTGCCTATGTGTCTCTTATGATGAGTGAGTCAAAACTTTCTCTAATAACACCAGTTGTTCCTTTAAATAGGACAGTTCCTGAAACTTCAGTTGACTCTCATTGCCCTAATATTACTAATAGTACAGTTACTGTAGAAGATCTTCATGGATTTCTTGCAGAAGAGCACAAGAAGAAATTGGTCCATCAGCTTATTGATGTTTTAAGTGAAGCAGTAAAGAGACGTGTTTTATATCTGTTTAGAGATACAGATGAGCTAAAAGGAGAAATTCTGAGTATACCTACCAAGAAAGCACATGTTGCAATACTGTTTTCTGGTGGCATTGATTCTATGCTTATTGCAACCCTAGCTGATCGACATATTCCTTCGGAGGAACCAATTGATCTTCTTAATGTAGCCTTCATGATTAAAGAACAGACTAAACAAAGCAAGCGGAAAAAACATGAATTGCATTCTTGTCAGGAATGCTTTAAAAAACTTGATACTACACTTGTTGATAACTTGTCTTGCTTCAATGTGCCTGACAGAATCACTGGCAGGGCTGGATTGGAAGAACTAGAGACTATTAATCCTTCAAGAACTTGGAATTTTGTGGAAATTAATGTTACACTTGAGGAACTGAAAAGAATGAGACAACAGCGCATAAGCCGCTTAGTTTATCCATTGGATACTGTTCTGGATGACAGCCTTGGTTGTGCAGTTTGGTTTGCTTCCAGGGGAGAAGGTTTTATTACTACCCAGGGAGATGTAAAACCATATAAAAGTTCTGCAAAGGTATAAGATCTTCTTTGTCTGTCTTATACTTGGTCAATAAAAATATGTATAGTGCAATTTAGCTTCAGTAGTCAGTACAGAATAAATATCCAAGGTCGCTGGAATACAAGTAGCAAACATAAGTAAATTTTGCAGTTGTAATAAGTGTGTAACTGCCTGCATTTCCAAAAATGCAGGACTTCTGCATTCAGTTCTTTGGCATGGAATTATTCTATTCCGTAAGCTTGATTATTGCCTTTTCCCAGCAGTAGAACTGGGAAAGGCAATAATCTTCAGCCTGGAATATTCAATTTTTGAATTGACGTAGTAGAGAAGAATTGTACCCTCAGATCTAGCCTAAACAGATTTGAAATATTTAAATCTGCAGAAAATTTAATTAATCAGCATTGTTTTGTGCTGGTATCCCACAAACCAGTAATTCCCACAATATCATTATTTGGGTTGGTATGTGACCGAAAAAAAATGCTATTACTATTGAGGGGAGAGGATTGTTTTTTGAAGGCTTCCGACATATTTTAAACAGTCATTTAAAGAGCAACTTTTCCCGTGTGTCCACCTGATATTTTTCTTGCTGTTTTGAAGGGGGCAACTTCTTTCAGTAGTTTGATAGCCACTTCAAGAATTCTCTTCTTTCCTTCCACTTGTCTTTGGTAGCTAGGATGGAGAAAGAATTAATGTTTTTTAAAATAATTCTGCATATTTGGAGTTCACTTCTGCATCATCTTTGAGATTTATACTATTTGCTGCCAACTAATGGGGATGTTTTAAATGGTTGGAGTCAAATAATAGAGGATTTAAAGCACAGTTGAATGGATTTTGCTTTATTTTTAGATTGTGCTACAACCTATAATGGCTTATGCATCAGAGTGGATCACCTAAAGATGTGGATACTGGTTTTATTTTAGTTGTCTTTCAGGTGACGTGATTTATTTAGCAGTTAATTTGAACTTTTTGAAAAATTGAGATAATTTTTTCCCCTAAATAGGCTGAAATGGTTTATTATAACAGAGCAGGTTTTTTGTTTTTCTTTAATGAGTTAAAGCCTGAGGGTATACTGTTCAGGTCTGATCCTGCTCCAATTTAAATCAGAGTTCCCAGTGACTTCAATGGGAACAAGATTAGGCCCTCTAAACATTCATAAATGCAGGCTTATTCTATTATGTTAATCTGAACATGTTTGAATATATTTATTGGGTTTATTTTCAGATTGTTACAGTTGAATATTTTGGGAATCTATAACATGTTTCCCCCCCTTTAATTAGAGTTCCTAGATAAATAATAAAATACCACTTTTTATACTCTTCTGTAGGTTGTGCTTACAGGAATTGGAGCAGATGAGCAGCTTGCAGGCTATTCCCGACATCGTGTTTGCTTCAAAAAATATGGTTTAGATGGCTTGAATAATGAACTAGGAATGGAACTGGCTCGCATTTCTTCTAGAAATCTTGGCCGGGATGACAGGATTATTGGAGATCATGGAAAAGAAGCAAGGTAGCACTGTTTTAACATGCAGCAAATAGTTTCAGCTCAGAACTCCATTTCTAGCACTGCAGTGGAATTTTAAATCAAAATTCCCTGTGTCTTAATTTTTTAAAAATTCCATGAGGACATTTGTTGTATGTGTACAGACATTGGGCCTGTACTAATTTAAAGTGCTTACAGTACCCCTTAAGAAGACATAGCAACTTGAAAATCACATTTCCACCTGAAAATTTTACTTCCAGTCTCGTGTTATATGATGATATTAACTTCACAAGCACTCATTTGAGGTGACCTCACCTGCACACAGTGATGGTTCTTGGGGTACCCAGGACTTTGAGCCACCTTGTTACCCCTTTGCATCCAGCAAGAGAGAGACTTGCTGGTGCTTAACCCATTGCAGTGTTAATCAGCTCCCTGGCACCTCCAGTCTGTTAGCCACTCAGTCTCCTCTGGACAGTGCTAGCCTGCCCCTCCCTTTGCTTTAACAATAGGTCCACCCCATCCCCAAGCCCCTTTGAAGTGTTTCCCTGTGATATCTTGCCCCTCTCACTGACTACTCACAGAAATATCAGGTTTGCTATCCCCCAGGAGACAGTGTATATATGAGGTGGTTTGATTCAACTGAGGATCAGCTCATATATATCATCAGAGCACTACAATGTATTTATTTTGAAAACAATCATAAATTTGTTATCAAAGGCTAAGATTTAAGAGACAGTGAGTAAGGGTAATCCAGTCAGCAAGGTAACATGTACAACTCCGTACACACTTTCTAGAGACTAAACTTTAACAGTCTAACCATCTGTCTAAAAGCAGTCTTATCTCTCCTAAATGTCCTTTACAGTGCTGCCAAGCAGGGCAGTTTGGGATCCTGTTTTCATGAATATGCCCAATTACTCCCTCAGATGCAGGATAAAGAGATGTCCTAGTGCCTTCTCCTTGTATCCACCAAAATTAATTGTTGGCACCCAGAGTCAAGATGTCTCCTACCTTCTCCCTCCCCCGAGTTTTAGTCCTTGGTGTGCTGACTTTATGTTGTTTTTACATTCTTTTGTTGACTTCATATGCAAAACTGGCTTCCATTGTGTTGGCTTACAAAGGCAGATGTGAATATATACATCCTTTGTCTGGTAGAAACCTGTTTATCAACACTGCCTGGATTCAGACTTTTTTAGGAACATATTTTCAGTGCGTGAGAAAGAGAGAGTTTGTGTGTGTGTGTGTGTGTGTGTGTGTGTGTGTGTGTGTGTGTGTGTGTGTGTGTGTGTGTACCCATTTCACAACTATTAATGACCAGTATGATCCTGGTGTGCATTTAAGATCCTACATTACATCATTTATGGATAAATACCATGAATGCGGTGTGAAGGCCAATACTATAATGATGTTCAAAAGGGAGCTAGATAGATTCATGGAAGATAGGTCCATCAATGGCTATTAGCCAGGATGGGCAGGAATAGTGTCCCTAGCCTCTGTTTGCCAGAAGCTGGGATTGGGTGACAGGGCATGGATCACTTGATGATAACCTGTTTGTTCATTCCCTTTGGGGCACCTGCCATTGGCCACTGTTAGAGGACAGGATACTGGGCTTGATGGACCTTTGGTCTGACCCAGTAGGGCCATTCTTATGTGATAGGTCCAGTGAGTTTGTGTGGCTTGTTGGGAGTTACTGTTACAGAACAGGAGTTCTTAGGGTCACACACACTTTTCCCCAGGTTTAGTATAACAGGAACAGCAGCAGCAAAGCTTAAACTGAAGAGGCAGCAGACAGATATGTCCAAAGGGAGGAAGGAGATGCCTGAGCATTTTTGGTGTTGCTTTTGGCCCAAAAGACTTCTAAACCTCAGGAAGGGAGCAGAATTTTTTTTTAATCCATACATGCTGTTAGGTGTTCTTATAGAAACCTGAATTATTTAATTGATTTTGTCACTTTATAGGGGACCATTCATTGTTCTGCATAAAATCTACGTAATCTGGCTTTGTATGGGGAACTAAGTGATGTCTTTAGAGAATGCAATCCACACACTCTACCCACCACATAGGCTGTGGGATTACAATATATGCAGCTTCTTGCAGCCATTATTCCTGACTGTGAAACAGCAGCTGCTGCCCTTCCACTCCTCTCCACTAGAGTTCCTAACCATTAGATTGGTATAGCCTAGATCGGGGTGGGCAAACTTTTTGGGCCGAGGGCCACATCTGGGTGGGGAAATTGTATGCAGGGCCAGGGCAGGTGATTGCGGTGTGGGAGGGGGTGCAGTGTGCAGGAAGGGGCTCAGGGCAAGGGATTGGGGCAGAGGAGGGGTGTGGGGTGTATGAGGGGGCTCAGGGAAGAGGGTTGGGGTGCGGAGTGCAGGAGGGGGCTCAGGGCAGGGGTGCAGGAGGGGTGTGGGATGCGGCAGGGAGTTGGGGTGCACAGGGGTGCAGGGTGCAGCAGGGAGCTCAGGGCAGGGGGGTGGGGTGCAGGAGGGGGGTGGGATGTACGAGGGGGCTTAGGGCAGGGAGTTGGGAGGCGGGCTGCAGGAAGGGTTCGGGCTCTGGCCCAGCGCTGCTTACCTAAAGCGGCTCTGGGGTGGCAGTGGCACACACCGGGGCCAGGGCGGGCTCCCTGCATGCCTGCCCTGTCCCCGGCCCCATGCCAGGAAGTGCTGCGGCCCCTGGGGGAGGGGAGGCGGAGGGCTCCGCGTGCGCTGCCCTTGCCGCACCTCTAGGTACCTCCCCTGAAGCTCCCATTGGCCGTAGTTCCCCATTCCCGGCCAATGGGAACTGCGGGGGTGGTGCCTGGAGGCAAGGGCAACGCACGGAGCCCCCCCCCCCCCCCCGGGCCGGGGGGGGGGGGGGGGGGGCCCGGGGGGGGGGGGGCCGCGCGGGGCCCCCCCCCCCCCGGGGGCCACAGGGACGTGGTGCCGGCCGCTTCTGAGAGCGGCGCGGGGCCCGTGGCACCACAGGGGGAAATCCCGTGGGCCGGATCCAAAGCCCTGAGGGGCCGGATCCAAAGCCCTGAGGGGCCGGATCTGGCCCGCGGGCTGTAGTTTGCCTACCCCGGCCTAGATTCAGTAGCCCCACTTTAATTTACACAGAAACAAAACATCTCCTTTCATGCCTGTTTGACCCACTTAATCATCCCACCATTGGAGTTATGTGATGGTCTGGAGGTTTTTGCATCTTAACTCTGCTCTGGGGAGAATTTCTTTCTGTATAGTAAACTGAAAAAATGGATCTTAGGTCACCAATCGTGATTTTGTGACTAGCAGAAAATGTGTAATATCTTTGGATGGGGAGAGTGACCTACGGAGTTATAAATCTATGATACATGTGAAAGGATCTTTAAGAAGGAAGTACTCTTTTAGCAAGGTAAAAACTGACAGTAGGCATTAACTAAACTATCTAAATTTTTGTGATTTCCCCCCCTTTAGAATGGTGTCACAGAATTTTCAGTGTAAATATGTTTTGTTTCATAGATTATTAGGGTTGGAAGGGACTTTAGGAGGTCATCTAGTCCAACCCCTTGCTCAAAGCAGGACCAATCCCTAACTAAATCCACAAATGGCCCCCTCAAGGATTGAGCTCACAACCTTGGGTTTAGGAGGCCAGTGCTCAAACCACTGAGCTATCCCAGTGTAGCTATGTACCAAAGTTAGGTTTTACAGTAGTTCAACATTTAAAGAGCCTCTGAACTTGGAAAACATTTTATTTATAAACAATCCTGCACCTACATAATTTATGTTTTCTCTCTTCCGTGTATCTTTATTGGTGGTGACGAGAGCTGTGCATAAAAACAGAATTTCTGTCATTTGCTCCTATTTAAGTACAAATTATTTTTCTTGGGCAAGACTTTTAAAACGTCAAATCAGATAAGTTTTAAATGAAGTTTCTTATGGATGTGTATTGCTGTTCCAGTCTTTTATTTCCCCAAGACTCCACAACACTTCTGTTTTTCTCACAACACATTAGCACCAAGATTTATGTTGCATCTCCTTCTAGGAATGGATATTCGCTTGAAAGTCCAAATTTTCTACAGATCACTATAGTGTGAATTGAGTATTCTAAAAGCAGTTCTCATACACTACACATTTGTTTGAGTTTAAACCTTGTCAAGGTAACAATTTTTCATAATATTTTCTGTTTAGATTTCCTTTCCTTGATGAAGATGTTGTTTCGTTTCTTAACTCTCTGCCTGTTTCGGAAAAAGCAGACTTGACTCTACCTCGAGGAATTGGTGAGAAATTACTTTTGCGCCTGGCAGCTAAGGAGCTTGGCCTCAAGGCCTCTACTATTCTTCCAAAGAGGGCCATGCAGTTTGGAACACGGATTGCAAAAATGGAAAACAGCAGTGAAAAGGCATCTGATAAATGCAGCAGACTTCAGCCAGTTTCAGTAGACTAATTTATGAGGCTGCAATTGAAGGTTTGTTCACTGCACATCTTATGAGAAATTTATGGTTTAAAATTTTGTATTTTATTATGTGTGGATATTCAATAAAATCCTCAAAATTTTAGAATTGTGTTTTATCTACTGGTTTTAATCAGTTTAACTGTAATTACACGTTGCATTTGGCCTAATGAAGAACTACTGTATTAGTCAATCTGGTCTGCCAGAGCATGATTGCCCTGGGGGAAGGAGAGGCAGGGGTTCCACAGAAAAAAAACAGATTCAGGCTGTATTTTTTATTTATTTTTTACTAATTTTCACAGGGCTTAAGGGAAATACTTTTGAATCCACCCCACCTGCCCACATTATGAAGCTAGTATATAACATTAACTCAACAAAAAATGTCATCTCTAGGGTTTATTGTGTGCATTTACTTACAGTTGAAGAAGGAAAACCTACTGTACATCACATACATTCTATCCTTTTACCAATATTGCATTGTACATTTGAAATGTACTCTACATTTAACAATTTAATTGTGTTGGTATTATATATTTTAAAAATGAAATTCTTTCTTATAAGAAATTCTTAGTTCAAGATACTAAAAAGTCCATGTCAGAACAGTGATTGTTAGGATTAGGGAAAACTCAAGATTTAATACAACAAGTAATATAATTCTTATCTGGTTTATAATATGTAGAGATCTGGAAGATACTCATAAAATGAACCTCTATATCACTATTGTTTAGCAGTGATGTGATGGTAAGAAAGTAATATTAACAATGTACATAATACAAATCCTCACTGTTTCTTTTATTATAACTTTTTATTTTATTTTTTTACAATGACAGCCATCCTGATTAGGATAGACTGTCAAGCAGAAATGAGAAAGTGACCATAAATACTTGTGAAAAGGGAATACCTGAAATTCAAAAGGGGAAGAGAGATGTGACAAATAATTTTTAAACCATGTGTTAAATGTGTCTCCCTGTCCCCCAAACTGTACATAAATTAAGGCTGTGTGACAGAGTGTATACCCCATCCTGGCTCTGAAAGATGCCAGTTAACATCTGGCTGCACCAAAGAGTGGACCAGGCCTAATTAAAGATGCAGCCCAGCTGGGGAAGGATGATTATAAAGAAAGGAAGCACAGTATTAGAAGGACTGTAGGGAAGGAACTGTATATTTCTTCTCTGGGGAGTGGAAAGTGGGAGGCTTAAGGAAAATACCTAGGGGCAGATTTGATTTTGGGATTGGGAAGTCTGGGAAGAGGTGGGAGAGATCTAATAAATGGGCAGGATTTGGACTTCAAGGGACTTCAAAGGAAAGAGTCCAGGGAGATATTCAGTGGAGGACTAGAGCAAGGGAAATTTAGAGGTGTAAAAGGTTGAGATGGAAGAAGTTGGTTTAGGATTTTATTGGGGGATTAAGAGTCCCAGGAATACCAGCCCTGAAAAAAGGCTGAAGTTAGAGGCTGTGGAGAGGCCTGCTGACAGGCTATAGTAGGAAGAAGTCCAGGGAGGCAGCAGCAGGGACTAGTTATAGGGTCCCTGGACGGGAGCCCCTTATGCTGCTGGGGAAGGGTGTGAGTGAGACCCCCCTCTGTAGTGTAGGGGGTAAGATTTTAAAGCCCTAGAAGAGTTCAGGGTAGATCAGAATAAGGCAGGGCCCATTATTGTTGGACTCTGTTACTTTAGAATCAGTGGGATTAAACATGAGGGGGCCAGAGATTTGAGTCATGAGAGGATGCCCACAGTGCTGGACTAGCTGGAGCAAAAAAGCACTAGATGAGAGCCTGCTGGGCCAGCCTAGCTCCCAGGGGCGGGTTTGCGAGCTGTGCTGTAGGAGCGCTAATTCAGTGTTGTGCAATTTTCCCATTTTGACTCGAGTTTAAGTGTGCTGCTAGTGGTTGTATAGTGTTAACGGGATCCTTGCATTCAGTGAGTCACCGAGACACAGTTATTCCTGCTGCCCCTTGTTCAATTTCATCAAAGATTAATTGGGGTGATGTGTGATCAGGGATAAATTATTCCTAACGTTTCTGTTAGTCACAGACCAACGTTCCCCCCCGCAGGGAGGCTGGCGGAGGCAGGCCGCAGGGTACTGAGTCAATCGGAAGCGGGCAGAAGGGGGTGCCCTCATTCAGAAGGTTGCACTGGCAGCTTCCTGGGTGGCTATGATGTCCCCGCCCCACTGCACGAAATGGGAGAAGCCTGCACTAGCCACTGCACCCGCTGTAATATGGAGCCCTGGGCTGGGCCTGGCGCGCAGCCCCGACTCTCGCGCGCTCTCCCTCGCGGGGACACGCGAGCTGCGCTTCGGCCGCGGGCACGACCAGCCCGTCGTGCACAGCGCCCCCTGCGGGGGTTGCCAAGGGGAAGCGGCGGCGTCCCGCGTTGCTAAGGTCCCGGCCAGGCCAGGCGCCGCGCGTTTCTCCCGGTTGGGCCGCGGGACTCCCTCCCTTCCCCGCCTCGACCGGCCAGGGCGGAGCCTGGCCCCCTATGGCAGGAGGGACTTGGCGGCTGCTCCCACCTCGCCGCCAGGCTGGTGAGCTGGAGGGCAGGGACCCGCGGGAGGAGGAGAGCTGGGGGAGAAGCCCGGTGTGGGATCCCCGAGGGCGCCGCTCTGTGCTGGGGACGGTGCGGTGTGTGTCCCTGGAGGCAGGAGGTTGCCAACCGATACCTCATTAAGCCACCCGGACTGGGAAGGCGGTTGTGGCGGTGCTGCCTCCGCCCCCATATGCCTCTAAATTGGTTGCTTTTTTACCCAATGCCTAACTGGCCTGTGGAACTCATTGCCACAATATGATGGAGACCAAGAGTTTAACAGGATTCGGTGTTCCTGTGGATACCAATGGCTGTAGTTATAATAGTGAACAGTACCAATAAACAAGTTTTAGAAGCTGTATAAATCTCCAAGCTTCCAGACATTAGCCAATTTCTAACTGTTGAGGGTTAGGAGGAAATTTACTTGGGAGCAGATTATCCCATAATGTCTGCTCCAGAGTTTCTTGCACCTTCCTCTGAAGGAGCTGGTACTGGCCACAGTTAGCGGTCTGATCCAGTGTGGCAATTCCTATGGTTTATGTTTTATTTAATCTTTCTGTTACAGTATTTATTTTTAGAGGTTACTTGTAACAATAGTAAATTCAAAGTCATAAATTGAAATGTGATTTTTTTTTCCCAAGAGGGATTTTCTTTCAAAATCATGAACCCCCTCCCGGATTTTTAAAGGACTATTAAAGATAAGTTTTAAAATGCTAGTATTAATTTTCATGTCACTCCAAGGCCCTGCCAGAATTACATTGCTGTACCTGTTGGGATCTAAATAATCTCTATTTTTTCAGTAGGTGGTTCTAGAGCTTCTGCACTTCCAAAATTAACATTTCACCACTTGCTAGGTTTTCTGGGTGTAGGATTTCTCTTTTTGGATGCTCAAGTGACTGTCTCTCTGTGATTCTGGGTTCTGTGTAAGACAGGACTTATGTCCTGAATCTGCAGGGAGTTATGTTTCCGTAAACAGCTTGAGTGAGCAATCCCCTATAGGAAGAAGGATTAGCATGTAGAAAGTGAGAGTTCAAAGGGACAATGTGGGAATGAGTGGTTTCTTGCAGTATTCAAGACCCTGCGTAGGAAGAAGAGGAGAAATGATACATTTCTTTTATGTCATGCGAATCTGGTGGCCCTGTTTATGAGATACATAATAATGTATGCCTTGGGTAGTAAATGGTATTCAGTGTTTGTTCTGTGTTAGAAAACACCATGTGAAGATTTGAGAATTCATTCACAGGTGTCCCGTGCATTACAAGCAAAGACATAGTCCCAGCCTTATAGGGTAATCTGAAAGAAAGGAATTTAAAATGTGGATATTTAAATTATCATTACTAGACTTCATCTTCAACAACCATTTCAGAGTGATGGGGCAGTCACACTTGCCCAGAGCAATTGTTTTAGTCTGTCTGTAAATATCACTGCATTGATTTGTACTTTTTCACAGTTGAAGGTTGTTTTTTCCAGCCATGAGGGTCATAGTGTTTTTTTTAAATAACATCTTAGATTCTAAAGCACAAAATGCCTGGCTCCATAAATACATATTTTTTAAAAGTTCACTTGGTTATTGCAAGCTGGCCCAATTCAATCCTTGGATGTCATAGGCAAAATGAAGTTCTTGGTTCAAGGAAAATAAAATTTTCAAAGATTGTGTTGCCTTGAAAAAGCTTGGAACACCTCATGTATGCTGTAGTATATTTTAATCTTGTTATTAAAGAAAGTCATTTTTCTTACAAATATTAATACCTACTTAAATAACTATTATACTTGTTTGTCTTATGTTTCTATAAGTATTTAATTTTAGACACCGCAGAAAGGAACTATTGAAGAATGCTGAGGTCTGTCAAAAAAACATTACCTAGAAATGAACAAGCAGATGAGACAACCTACTTAGCAAATTTAGCAGTACAGAGAAATGCCAGTGCCTTCTTTGACAAATTTGACCGAAGTGAGTTACAGGAATTACTTACCACTACCTCTTGTAGCTGGCTGGCTTCTAAAGATGACCTACGCCAGCCATTAGAACTTCCCAGTGGACTTATGGGTCAGCTAAAAAACATAAGTTTCCCGACTGCAATTTTCCTAGCACCAGTGGTGCCAGATGTACCTTTGGACTGTAAAGAAGTTCATCAGATTGTGAGAGAATTGGCTGTAGGAATTTACTGTTTAAACCAAATTCCTTCCATCAGCTTAGATTCCAATTACGATCACAGCACATCTTGTCAGCTTCCTCCAGCTTACATTGACACCAGAATTGGACAAATCTTGATCAGCGTTGACTACATGTTAAAAGCACTGTGGCATGGTGTGTATATGCCCAAAGAAAAACGTGTCAGGTTCTCTGAATTGTGGCGCTCCAGTATGGATATTGATATGGATGGGAATCCACAAACAGAAAAAAATATTTTTTCAGAGTTTTGTTCAGCAGGTGAGTAAAAAACCAGTTATTTTCTGCTGGTATTTTCAGCCATTATAACCCATTTAAAGAAAAATAATCTTGCAAGTGATAAGTACTTAGCATATTCCTAAGCGCTAGGGGTCATTATCTGAAAAAAACAAGAGATTGCTGGACAATATGAAAAGTCATCAAGTTGGAAACTAAAATAAAAATATTTCAAAGATCATTTTTTCAAAATGGTGTTGAGGCACCTATATTAAGCGGCCAGACTTTCAAAACTGGTCAACACTCTGTAGTTTCCTTTCAGGAAAGTTAACGCTGCAGGGTGCTGAACGCTTCTGAAAATATGGCTCTAAATACTTGGAAAAAAGTTTGTATGTATTTTTTTACAAAGGGTTTTTTTAGATCACAACTTTGGCTTTATTATTAAGATTTAAAATTAGCTACTCTTTTAATATATAACAAATAAGACTGGGCTAAAATAAAAAGAAATCTTCTAAACAAAAGACTAAAAGCACCTGAGAGAAATCCTTTGGCTCTCTCAAATATATCTCAAGAACAGCTGATGGTAGAGACTGGTAATGAAATATAGAACCAGGGTCACTGGTTAAAATCAAGCTCAGTTTCATATTGATTTAATGCGGCTCTCAATCTTTCCAGACTACTGTACCCCTTTCAGGATTCTGATCTGTCTTGTGTATCCCCAAGTTTCACCTCCCTTAAAAACTACTTGCTTATAAAATCAGACATAAAAATACAAGTGTCACAGCACACTATTACTGAAAAATTGCTTGCATTCTCATTTTTATCAAATAATTATAAAATAAATTGGAATATAAATATTGTACTTACATTTCAGTGTATAGTATATAGAGCAGTATGAACAAGTCATTGTCTGTATGAAATTTTAGTTTGTACTGACTTTGCTAGTGCTTTTAATGTAGCCTGTTGTAAAACTAGGTAAATATCTAGATGAGTTGATGTACCCCCTGGAAGACTTCTGCCTACCCCCACGGGTCCACGTACCCCTGGTTGAGAACCACTGATTTACTGTCATTACTCTTTAGTGGCTTATGAGAAATTAGTTGGTGCCTTAATCCAGTTCCTAGTGACAAGTATACACATTACAAAATCGTGCCCAGTGTTGGCAGTAATCACCTGATCCAAGTCCTATTAAAATCAATGGGAGACTTTCCAGTGACTTAAATGGGAGTCAGAGCAGGTCATAACTGGCAGTCTCAGCAGAGAGGAACTCTCTCACCCCTACTGGTAGTCCCATCAGAACAAGAACAAGGCCACTGTCAAGGGAGTGGGGAGGCGTGTGCTGCAGCTACAGCTCTGACTATTGTGTAGCTAAGTAGAGGGATTCATTTTTCCAGGGCTGTCTATTTGGCATTTTCATGAGCACTAAATTTGCTCGAGAAAAAGATAATCTGAAAGATGGGTGCTATCAGGATGCCCAGTGTATCCACTAGAACACTGAGGGAAAGGAGCAGCTCTTACTGGGAAATTCCCTAATTCTCCCCCTTCCCCCCGATATAGTTAAACTGCAGTCTGATTTGATACAATTTTGTATATAACAGCAAGGTGATGTTTAATATGTTAATATAAAGATAAGTACATAATATTCTGCAATGTAAAAAATAAAAATATCCTTGTCAGAATTAAACAGTTGTATTAAATTATTTTTTTGACAGGCATTAGTTTTTTAAAATATATTTTACTTGCATCCAGTAGCTATATGGTTATTTATGTAGATTTTTGTGTGTGTGATGCAGGTCTAGTTGATCTTTCCAATGAACCAGATTTTGAGGGAATCTATGATGAAAACATGAATGAAGATCCAACTTATGACCCTAACAGTGCACAAGAAAAACATCTCTTTATGCAGTATGCAGACAATATACTACTTAAGTTGACATTTGGTACTATACAAGTTCAGCAGCATGAAAATGTGTGTAAATTTGATGCAGCATATCGGTTTTCTAATGTGATAAAATTGACTGAGGATCACCTTGACACAGTAACATACCAAAGGGTGCAGCAGAGGCTAATTCTTCAGCAAAAACTTGTGAAGAAGCACTTAGAGAAAAAAGCAGAAATCCGTAAGGATATTGAATATCTAAAAATAATGAGCTTTCTGATTCCATTTTTACTTGGCTTAAAAAGAAAGATGAAAATTCCAAATTTAAATCAACTTCTTCAACCATATTCAGGTACGCAGCTTACAAAAGACAGGGAATAATTTTGTTTTTATTTTCAAATTGTATATTGTTCATATTATATTAAATTACAGTACTTTTCAGAATACATGGTCAAATGATTTTCAAATTTTAATAAAATTGTAATTATATAAGAAAGTGAATGTCTTTTAAGTGCGGAGAAACTAGTATTTTGTACATTCTAAGAGTAGCAACTGCAAATAACTTAATTCAGACTGTGGTAGATAACTTGGATGCTCATTGTGTACAGGGAGCCAAATTCATCCCTGATGTAACTCTGTTGAAGTCTGTGAAGCTACAGCATAGTTGAATTTGGACTGAAATATTTATTTTAAACTAGTATCCGAAGAAGTGGGTTGTAGCCCACGAAAGCTTATGCTCTAATAAATTTGTTAGTCTCTAAGGTGCCACAAGTACTCCTGTTCTTTTTGCGGATACAGACTAACACGGCTGCTACTCTGAAACCTAGTATTACACAATCATCATTTCTCAATGAAACACACTAATATGTAATTGCTTAGCACCTAAGATTTTTAGACAGCATTAAGAAATTAATGATGTTGTAGTACTTTAACCTTCTGTCATGCTCTAAAAAAATGTCCTCTTTTTGTAGATGATAAAGTTAAGACTGAACGAGAATTGCCTCCATTTGTGTTTGGGCCAGATTTTAAATGCCAACATTTTCATTACATAAAGAATGAGTATTTTCATGTCCATGGAGGAATTGAATTTGATGTTGGTACACCTTCTCTTGAGGATGTTTCAGAAAAGATAAAGGTTTTGTTTCAGTATCTTTTCTATGATTTGTGTGTGTGTACTTGCAACTAATATAGTATAAGAGAATATTCTACTTTTGTTAAAAATACCAGTGAGAGCAAAGGAAATCATGTGCTCATGAAAAAGGTGTTATCCTGCAGATTTCTTGGTAAGAGAAATATAATAGAGCCAGGCTAACGTAACAGTGCAATATTTCCTTATAGTAAATCTTCAGTGTCATCAGTTTACTAGTTTGTAGCACAACTGTTATGTATGCTGACTTCAGCTGACTATACAGAGTGCACAATGCAAGAATTTTCAGGAAGTTAGGTTTGCATATGTGGGGGGAGAATGACACAGTATTTCTCCTCCTCCCCCCCCAAAATATACACATATTCACACATTTCTCTTTCATCAGTTCCTTTAGTGTGGGTCTGGCTCCAGTTCTCAGTCTTCAGCATACTTCAATTTGCATCTTCACAGTTTGTCGAGAGTTGGGAGCTCTCTGATTTGCAAACGGGCTGAGTCAGAGGCATTATCCCCCAAATTATATCCTATAGAAAGGACAGGGCTTCTGTCCTATAGCCACAGTTATCACCTTAGTGTGACATCTTAGCTCCATTTAAGTCAATGGGTGTTTTTGTCATTGACTTCTATGGAACCAGTATTTCACCGTTAGTCTCTACTGGACTTTCAGCTGTGAGGTCAAACATCTACTGATTTTGGATAATGGAATTCAGTTTGTTCTGAATCAGCCCATTGCTCCAGAGCACCATCAAAGTCCCCATGCCATTTTCAGCTGAATGTTCTTCACAGACATGACTAATACTAGAGTTCAGGAGTCTAACAGGACAGAATGAACATACACAGAATGATGGTTGCTGTTTCTATCTGCCATGATTGGTATCCTTGGTTACAGAGGCAGTATTGCCCTAAAGGATGCATAGAATGCAAGGGACAGATTTCTCCCTGTGCAACACAATGCGTGGTATTGTATCATAGCCACCCTGAGGGGAAAAATGGCAGTTAAAGGGGCCGGCAAAATCCATTCATTTCCCAGGGATCAAACCTCCTGTCTGTACTAAAGAGAGTGTTTGCTAGGCACAGCCATTGCATCCACATTCAATATCAAGACTATTCCCTCAGTGAGACTTCACATTGGGAGTGGATTTAACTTTCAACAGTCTCTGAAAGCAGCCTGTGTGTGTAGATGCACAGTGATCAGAATGGATTTCAGCTTGTATGTTTGGCATAACACAGACAAAATTTAAGTTGTTGGGCTCTCAGTGACCCTCTGGCTCTGGTCAGTTCTTAGCCATTCAGACAACCACTTTATAAATGTAAACATTTACAGTTGGTTAATATAACAATTCTTTTGTTCTAGGCCGTCTTTGATGACATACAGATTTGTGCATCAAACCATGTAGCCCAGTTGTTAGACCCGGATATAGCATACAGAGAACATTACTCCATACCAACCATGGAATTTGATGGAAAGAGGTAAGGAACATGCCTCATACTGTATATTTAAACTATGTAAAAAGTGATAGTCTGGTGGTTTACTGCTGTTTTCAAAACAATTATTGATTACTTGAACCTGCTGACTATAAATGAAATAAATCACAGTTGTCAAGAACACCAAGTCTGAGTAGTGTTTGAGAAAATGTGATCTGATCAAAATTTAATTTTAGTCGTCTAAATAATGTTCTGTTTAATATATTAAAGTAATAAAGCTAATTGAGTTACTTGATTAAATTTATGTGTAAACACAATTTTTTAAATCTCATACGTTGAACGAATTCACACAACTGTATTATAAAAAATAATGTAAAAGTGCACAAACAGTCTGAGGCAAATGTTTAGTTTTTAAAATTGTTGTTTGTTGTTAAACTTTTGTAATGTTAGTGTTCTGTAGGAGAGAATGTTTTTATGTAAATATTCAGTAGTTTTAAATAAGATGTATTAAACTTGAAATAAGTATTCTCAGCTATACCAACTACTGAAAAATTCTTAAACTTTTGATTATTCAGACATGTATAGTAGTATAATGATTTTTTGTTTATATATTTTATTAGTCTTCTGTCAATGACAGTACATTGAAAATATTTTTGTATGTAAAGACACAGAGCCGGATCCCCATTTGGTGTAAAGTGGTGTAGCTCCAATGACTTTAAAGGTACTCTGACAACTTCTACCAGCTGAGGACCTGGCTGTGTATTTTAATTTCATGTATAAAAGCACAAAGTACACAAAAGAGCTAAAATGTTTCCTTTTAAACTTCTTTGTTTTGTTTTTTGTTACAGCTACTATGTGATCTCCATTGAATTGGAAACTTTTTATCAGCAGCTATATAAAACCCCATGGTGGGGGGCCATAAATGAAATAATAAGCACTCTCAAGCCTAAAAGGCTTCCATTAACTGATATCCAATCACTGGAGCAATTCAAGAAAAGATTTGGTTATAAGAAAGCTATTAAATGCAAGGTATCCTACTTACTGTATAATTGTTTTTCTGAAAGAGCATTTATACTCTGGAAACTGACTCTAAAAATGGCTTTATGTTGAATGTCTCTTGATTCCAGAATAAGTTTGCACAGTTTACAAGTAAAAACAATGATTTTTTTAATAACTGCCAGTGCTGCAGGTTCTACCTGAAATCTAACAGTGAAGCTATATTTTTTGAGGCTCATGCACATCATCAGTGATGATTCTGCAGGCAAAATTGTGGCTTCAGTAACATCTCTGTAAACCCACTATTCTCACATTCTGTTCTCATTTACACAAGAGCAACCCCATTCTCTTTAATAGAATTAAACAAGTATAACAAAGGGCAAAAATTTGACTATGCACTTGTAACTCGATTGATTGCTTTATGCATTATCAACAGAATAGAAATTGGCTCACACTCCTATTGTACATCTTTGATGCTGCAGTGTAAACAGGAGTAAAATGTAATAAAATGTTGTTTAGTCTCAAGTAAATAGACGTGATTCTGAATACACAGGGGGCAGATCCGTTGAGTAGTATGCTGCCATTTTTAAATAGTCATTTTCAGGGTCCAGACACACATTTGTTGAAGTCCAGGGAGTTAAGTGGATTTACATCTGCTAAAGATCTTGCCCTCAATATAGACCCACAATTTAAGAATTGGAGGTTGCCTCTTCCCAGTGTCTCCTTTTCCAGTAAATGTTTTATTCCTCTTTGACATACTGTCTATTATTCTATTTACATGGATTTAGAGTTTACCTTATGGTATGAAGTCTGCAGCTGAGAGAGGACTATCTGCTATCTTCTATACTTTTTGTCGTAAAACATCTACTTCCAGTCTCAGTGTTGTAGATGAATATGGTTATGCTCTTCTCCATCATGCTTCCATACACAACCGTGTGCCAATTATCTGTCAGCTGATTAAATCTCATTTGAATATCAATCAGAGGCGCAATGTTCACTTTAACCTGGGTAAGATATGATATATATATATATATATATATATGTATGTCGGGAAGCTATGATTGTGGGGGCCCCATGTTCCCTGTCACTTCCATCACCAGAGGGGAGCTCTCTGATAGGGGGGAGTCATGGAAGGAGGGAATACCAGAACAGTGGAATGTTTCTTCTTTTTAAACCTTGTGAAAGCCTCTCTGCAGGAATTTCACAGGGATCCAGATTTGTGAAGTGAGAGGCAAGGGGCTGGGGAGGACATTCATTCTATATCTCATTCTCTCCTCTTCAAAAACCGTGGAGTAGAGCAGTGCAAATTACTGCAAGTTGAATTCACATTAATTTACTGATCTATTAAATCTACACCTTCGGGCATTTCTGGACATCGGCAGTTGGGGGAGCACATGTGGCTGCACTGTTTCTTTTATTAGGTACTGCAAGGAGCCAGGGGTGCCATGTGGCAATATAGAGGAAAGTATCTTTCATGTGGGTGGCCTTTGTATCTAGCAGATCTCCAAGATCCGTGGGATTGTAGATGCACAGATTTTTAAGACTACTATGATCATCTCGTCTGATTTCTTGCATAATACATTTCACCTAATAATTCCTATAATGGAGGAAATTATTTTTTCCTACTACATCAGTGAACACTATCAAGCTCATGAACTGAGGTTGAATCAGAGGACTTTTAAGAAAGATATGCAATATAGATTTAAAGACTCTAAGAAATGATGAATTTATCACTGGACCCCTGACCTCTTCTGTGGTGGGGAGGAAAGAGGGAACAAATTCCTCTGCACTGGAATAACATGTTGGGGAGTATGGGTTCCAGAGCATTTGTGGGCAACAGAAAAGTTTCCCTCCCTAGAAATATTAGAAACCTCCTCTGTGACCACTCTTTGTTTTCTTTCTACAATGTACAGTGTAGGACAAAATGTGCTTTAGAACTAATTTTATAAATGTATCAATCTCTTTGTGAATTTCAGCCTGCGCTTTTACAGTCGTCACCATCCAGCTTTTCAGTTTCTTTAAATTACTGCCATAATGTAGCCCTCTAAGATTCCATTTTGCTTGATTTATGACATGTATACAAATATAATTAGAAATATATAGAATTAGAATATATCCAATATACGATTTAATAAAAACATGTAGACTGTAGCTAACGATCATAAATATATTTTTGTTTTAGGAAGACGTTCACAGAAGAGTGAGACTAAGGGGGACAGAGCTGGTAATTAGTACATTAAATATTATGAGACCTTTTAGTATTTTGTTGTTGTTATAAATATAGAATGTAAGCAAAAAAGAGTTCATCTCAAGAAAGGGAAGATTTGACATTTTTATGAAAATTAGAAGGTAGAGTCTACTGGCCAAGTCTTGTCTCTACTCAGCTTTTACTGAAGCAAAACTCCCACAGAAGCCATGAACTTTGACTAAGTACATTAGGATTTTGATGTAAAAGAAGGGGAAGCTGAGTGGGGGATGGGTACGTATTGCATGGGAACTTGGAAGACTTGTTCAGAGTTCTACTTAAAGCTGTCTGTAATTCTTTCATCAGTAGTAAACTAAGTTCCAGCCATGGGAAGGCAGTCCCAATATGTGATGTCTCATGATTACTGTCACTGGGATTTCATGAAAACATTAGAGGAAAGCTATAGGATTTGCACTGGAAAATTCTACATTTCACTTGTCAGCAGCTCCTATCTTCCACACCTTCATTCTAGGGGATAGGTTTCATATTTTAGAATTCTTTGGCTTGTCATCTGCTGTGTTTAAGAATATATGGAAAATAGTTAATTCTCCTCTAGAGCTTGGTGTTTCAGTTCTAAGTGAATAATTGCTTTGCTTTGAAATCCAAAGCCAATGCATTCAATGTGATCTTTACTGAGGTAGGGAAACCTTCTTTTAAACTATCCCGTTGCCTGACTGCTCTTTAAATTTTTCAGAGAAATTTCTTGATATAAGTGATCTCAGCCAGTTCAATGAGTGTTGCAAGTTAAGAGGCTGAACAGCCCTTTATGTTCCTTTTCTTTAAGAAAAAGGAGATGGAGTGCAGACACTTATTCTGCCAAGACTGGAGATCCATTAATTAAATAATGGATAAGTTCTGTTTTTATAGGTCTTATTATCTGAAACTAACTACTTCCTGACTACTGTTCATGTTATTTATTCCTTGATACATTCCCAATTCAAACCTAATATAAGTGTTTTAAACTCCATTTAAGTACATCTTTTAATCCTTTTTACTTGACAAAGGAACTGATAGTTAGGAGCATTAAGGGACTATGCCTTCTCTGGTGGAACATATCCTCTAGTGTGGGCACTGTAGTTGCCCCATAATTCTAAAACTTCAATTCTAAACCCCACTTCCTTACTGAGGTGTCTCCAGGTGTGGTAAATTCTCCAGTGGACATAGAGTCTATGTAGTTGTCTCTACCATCTCACTACAGCCTCCACTTTCATGCACTGTACTGTAAACTTTGCCTTTAGTGGAACACAGCTCAGTATCAGTTTTAGAAAAAAGTATACTATGACCCCAATCCTTCATTAGGCTCCACACAGCCACAGAATCCCTATTAAAGTTGCCTAGGCTTCTATAGGGATCTGGTTGCATAGCACAGATTGGAGACTGTGGGTCTGTGATACTACCTGTAACAGTCCTGGGTCTGCTATGCTTTCAGAGTAGTGCCAATATATCTGATTATGTTAAATATGTTCACTTTCAGGAAAACCAAATTTGCAAGAAAAGGAGACCTCTGGGGAAAGAATTGGTGAGTGGTAAAGAAATCAAATATTACCTTTATTATCTTTACCTATGCAGCATGTGGAAGCTAGAAAGATTACAGCTAAGGAGCAGAGAAATGGAATATTTTTATTAAAACTAAGGAGTTCATACTTTAAGAAAATGTGTTTTCACACTGCTTAAGTCTGTCCAAGGCTTTGAAATCTATAAAAATAAGATTTTTCCATGACTTGCGTGGGATGGAAGGCAGGATGTTTGTTTTGTTTGTTTGTTTTGAAAAGTATAAAATACTATATTATTACCACTGAAGTTATAACTTCAGACATCTTTAGTTTTAAATCTGTTGATACATTCAGATGTTTTCCTTTTATCTCAAAAGCTTCAATTTGATATTAACTCAAGACCTCGTAGAGATGAATAACTTATTCTGTGATTAGAATGGCATGAAAACAGTGCTGGTAAAACTGGCAAATAGTTACGTGGAGATTTTACATCATGTTTTGCAGGCACAGTCTAGGTGCATCACTTTGAAAATTATGCCCATTGTATCAGCTTTTTTTATGTATCCATTAGCTTTAGGCCCTACTGCTTTACACCTGGCAGCTCAGTGTGGATCCATTGAAGCACTTACTTGTCTTCTGGCCCTTAAGGCAGATTATAAATTAACGGATGATCGAGGATGGATGGCTATACATTTTGCTGCATTCTATGACAACATTTCCTGTATTACGGTTCTCTATAGAAAAGACCCAGATCTACTAGAGGCTGAAACAACAGCTGAGTAAGTCACTAGAGTTTTAACACTGTGACGATTGGTGCTTTATCATTTATATAATACAGTGTGCTTGAAAGACCACAAATATGCCCCCTCTCCTAAAATTTCTGTCTTGCCGTACAAATACAGCCCCGTATTGGAAGATGAGTTAGCCTTTCTAGAATGAGGAGTAAAATAACAGGTTTCAGAGTAGCAGCCGTGTTAGTCTGTATCCGCAAAAAGAACAGGAGTACTTGTGGCACCTTAGAGACTTAACAAATTTATTAGAGCATAAGCTTTCGTGGGCTACAACCCATAACAGTATTTATATGGTCATATATATGTCCTTAATTATATGGGAGCAACTCCTTTGGCTTTAATGGGAGTTATATGTATTGGGGCCCCATTGTCTCTAGGCTGTACAACTTCAGTATTATCATACTCATGATTGTGAATTTCTATTGCTCATGATGCTCCTATGCTCTGGGTGGGTGAAGGAATGTTATAAGCAATAGAAATTCAGGACCTAATTTTGCTGTCCAATAGGATTGTGCAGCACCCACTCAGGTCAACAGAAGTTACATTTCTGTATGAGGTCAGAATTGGGCCCTCAAAGTCCTGAGACATATTTAGGCTATAGCATAAAATCATTGTTTTGTGGGGAAGAAAAAGAGGAGACCTGCTGAAATCTTGAAGATGCACTCTCAGCATCATTCAGTCATGATACTGCACAGATATCTACCATTGAGAAATAGGAAAAGAAGGACCTAATGCAATCTCAGTGGCAATCAGTGTAAAAACTACCACTGACTGAGTAGAATTTGGTATGACCACCAGGGAGCCTCAGCTAAGTCAGAAATCAGATGAACAATTAAAAATCAAACAAGCAGAAACTGTAAATCTAAGACAGATTAATCTGAACAGAGAGTTTATGCATTCACATCCTCATGGATTCCATTTTTGAAAAATAATAGTTTATAATCAGCTGAAATAACTGTATGAAATAAACTTGTTTGCATACTTCATATTTTATTACATATTAATTTATACCACAATATGTTTGTGTTCCATAGATATCATTCTACTCCACTATTGCTTGCAGCCACATCTGGAGCATTAGACACTCTTCAATATTTGTTTTCTCTTGGTGCCAGCTGGAAGAAAACTGACAGTGAAGGAAACAATATAATTCATTTAGCAGTGCTGTACTTTCACACAGAAATTCTCAAGCATCTAATACAGCTAGATAATCCAGATCTTCCAGTTTGGAATACTCTTGTAGGTAAGCACATACATTCTCTCTAAAATAAAAAGTCTGTGTATGATTCATTTTAACCAGTGGTATTTTCCGTAAAATGGTGAAAATATCTATAGTTAATGTACTTCCCAAACCAAGCTACAAATAATGAAAAATAGAATTTTGAATGTTTTGGGGCTAAATTGTATCTCTAGCTTTCCCTGTGAAGTCCATTAATTTGAATGGAGTTGCAGAGGCGTTACTGAAGGCAATCTGGTCCTTAATTGTTATATGATGAATATAATATAGTTTCTATTTTTAGCATGCAGGAACTATCTACTCTTCATGCAGCAAAAAATAGCTTTATTTTGATACTATTTTAATTACCATTGAGATCACTGTATCTTATTTTTTCAGACACCTGTTTCTCCTACTGTCTTAGGCCCTGATCCTGCAATCACTTAAGCATGTGCTTAATTTTATCCATATGAGTAATCATATTGAGCTCAATGGGACTACTCAAGTGTTTAAAATTATTCACATATATAAGTGTTTGTAGGCTCAGGACCTTTGCGTGTAATTCAGAAAGACATATTTCCAGCTTCTGCATTACTGAAGCATACCCAGCAATTTATTATTTTAAATTGCAACTTTACAGCCTCCTTTTCAAAACCATTGGGATATCCATAAAAATACATCTGCACTTACTGTACATATAAATAAGTAGGTACTTATGTGTGCAGTTATCCAGTTGGGATGCAGAGAAGGAATTTTGCAGGTATAACTTTTACATCCATGTTTGAAAATTAGTCCCCTTCTCTTTCCTGGACTTTTTTTGCATAAAAAGGCTCTTTGGCTATCATTGGGTTTTAAGCACACTTTATAGTCCCGATTTTCCAATCAGATGCACACAGTGAATTCTTATGTCCACATGGAGTCTCACTGTTTTCAGGAGGGCTCCACATTACCACAGTGTTCTACCTATGCAAATTGATTGCGGGACTGGGGCCTATGTCAGCCCCTGACTCTCTTATCTTTTAAAACAGTAAATTCTGATCCATAAAAGAAATGGTTTTCTTCCATTATAATATAAAGGGAATTGCCCTTCACCTAGTAATGAGCTCATTGGGCCAGATCCTCAGCTGCAGTTGAGGTATGCTGAGCACAGTTGAGGAATATGGAGAGCAAAGACCTTCTTTATACTCCCCTGATCCTGGAGCTGCTGAATACTGCCTCAATCTGTGTCAGCTGCCAATGGGGCCATTATGGCAAACAGGGATTCCTAGATATAGGGAACCACAGGCCAGACCTCTAGTCCCTAACCACAGCCCCAACACTGGCAAGCGGTGATATAAAAGCTGCCTGAGTATCCTTATATGTAGGGGAGACCAGAGTTACTTGATTTAGGTCAGCTTTGCTCTGGATTAGGGCAATTAACTCCAATCTGGAATATAATGAAGAAGGAGTTGAGTATCCATCAAGTTGTCTCCTTATATAGTAATGGTTTCAGTTGCTGCTTCTGGCATATGTGAATAAGGGTTGCACAAAAGACAAACAGGGCCTTACATGCTATTCAAAACTGTTCCCAGTTGGGGCATTTATTCAAATTGTGATTTCATTTAAATAATTTCCCTTTGTACTTATACATGTAATTAAATAGCTTTGCTTCGAACTAAGCAGGTCAACTTTACATCATAATATAGAGAATAAATACTCTACAGCTGAAGTAATATTAAAGGAAGATTATATGGGACACTCAATTTAAACCCTGCTAATGGCAGTTCATGATTTTACTAGGTGAGGACACTAGGAAGAGGATGAAGATGGGAGGATATATTTTCTTACAGTAGAAGCAATGCAAGCAATGTAATAGAAACATAACGTTAAAATGAGGCACTTATCATGTTATCCTACCTCTCCACAAACCTTTCTTCATTTAATTTGTGCTAGAGAGAATGTAAACAGTTGCCTATACCCTTTGGGGTTGCCCCAAACTGAAATATTTTTGAAATGAGAGGTGTTCTTGGTAAATATTGTTAGATTTGGAGCCTGAAATGAATACCACCTAACAGCAACAAACTGTTTCTTTGATTATTTATGTAGAAAGCACATATACTTAATCTGGTTGCTGCTATGGTACAATTTTTAAAGTAGACTGCTAAAGTGGACTACTTGCTATATGCAAAGACACACACAGAAAACCAGTACATAGCACACACACAAATGTAATGTTTGGACTCCCTGATCCTATGGTTATTTTTGAGAATATAGACCTTTGATCACCAAACTAAAAAGTAAATATGGATATATGTAAAATTGCTGGGAAGAAGGCAATTATTAGGACGTGAAAATCACCTTAAATGTTAAGTACAGGTTGGCTATTTGAATTTTAAGCCATAACAGAAAGGTTGATTTAACGATAAATTCAGATTGTTTATATTGTTTCAAGTGCAATCAGAGTAACAACATTTGAGGGTTGCAGAGAATTTCCATTGACAGTAATGGAAGTTTTGCATAGGAGGGGTTTGGTGCAATATGAGACCATACGAAATCCAAGAAGAGAATTTTTCCTTTATTGTGAATCTCATTGTAACAAACTGGTATATGTGCACACACATACTCATTCCTATCGTAGTACTTAGCTGCCAGTCTGTGGAACAACACTGTAAACTGGAGACGTTTTTTTTAAAACTATGAGCTCCAACAAGGATTGTTTTTTCTTACCCACACGGAAACATGTGTGGAGTAAAATACGGACCCCATTGAAGTCAGTTAAATTTGATGGAGCCAGGATTTTTATCCCTGATTGGTGTATCCTTATGATAAAAGCCATTAAAAAGGACAACTGAAAAAGTATGTTATTTTTAAGTTCAAATAATCTTTAAAGTTCACGTTCAATGACAGCTGTGTTTTTGTGAAATGAAAATGTTTTTAAAATGTTTTACATTCCCAACAGAGATGTTACAGTGTGAAGACTCTACGAGGCCAGAAATGGCAGTTAGATCCTTGGAAGTTCTCTGTTTAGCAAAAGATTTCTACTGGAAATGCATTTTGGATTCAGGTGATATAAATAGCATAGCAAGTGTACTTGATTTTATTTTAACATCTTAAAGCCATAAGTTTTCGTAAAATTAATTGGCTGTCATGTCATCATTCATTATCAACAATACAAGTACATAAACAAAGAGTCTCCAAAGGTGCTACAAAGCAAAACTGTGATAATTTCAGCTCAGTTCAAAACCGAAGGTTTAAAATATATATTAAATGAAACTCTAACATGGGTCACAAGTGTAAAAAAGCTGCTTAACTTGAAGGATAGTTTCAACAACCTGAAGGAAGGCTTTAAAACAGGATTTCAAGAGTGAGGAGAAGTAGTAAGAACTGACATAAATAAGGGTCTGGCTGGGGCCTCTAAAATAAAAATGCCTCTTCATTGGTTTAGTCCTTGTTCATTTGGCAAAAGTAGTATTTTATTGTGTGTCTGGAGTTGGAATGGAGTTTCCATTAGATTATAATATTTGTAGGTGGATTAAATTTTAGGCCTTGGCATGTTAAGTGTCCCTGTCATTTGTTTTTATTTTTGAAATTAGTAAAATATTTCATGTAATTCTCATAAACTCAGTTTAAAATAAATAATAAGCAAACGTGATATTGGATGCCTGTCACACTGACTATAATCATGGGTTTGTTTTCTTATTTATTGCAGGTGCTATCCCCTCTCTAATCAATCTGTTGAAAGGCCACCAGATCAAGCTGGCATGTATAACATCGGGGGTGTTGAGTAATATTTCACCACACATCACCATTTCTAAAGCTTTAGTAGAAGCAGGAGGCATTTCAGTATTAATTGAATTGTTGAGTTCTGGTGAACCTGAACTGCAGTCTCGCTGTGCTGTTATCCTATACGATATTGCCCAGTTCGACAATAATCAAAATATCATTACTGAGCTGGTGAGCCTAATTCAGGAACTGTTAGTTATGTTCACGTTTTTTACTTTCTTAAAAAGGACTGGATTTTTTAAAAATCCTTTTCTTTTCCAATATGAGGTAATTTTCATAGTTGATGAAACCTGTTTGACATCTTTTGTTCCATTCATTTATATATACTGTAAGGCACGTGGAATGTAATTGCAATGGCTCTTTCTTTGGGATTGTTCCATATTACATTCATATGCTTTTTTCCTTCCTTAGGGTGGAATCCCTCCTTTGATAAATCTTTTGAAAATTAAATTACAGGATTTGTTAGTTAATGTAATAAATTGTATCCGGGTGTTATGCATCCAGAACAAACAGAATCAAAGCACAGTGAAGGAACATCATGGTATTCCAGCACTTGTTGAGTTTCTAACTTCACAATCAGGTAAACTTTTATTTTTACATGTTTGTTTAATATTCTTACTGTAGACATTTGGAAAAAAGGAAACTCTGCATATTCGTAATGATTTGAGTATTATTATGTACTCCTGGGGGAATTCTGCAACAAAAAATTGAAAATTCTGCACATAATATTTTCAAATTCTGCATGTTTTATTTGTCAAAATAACACAATCTAATCACACCAATTTCAATTATTATTGGTCATTTATGTCAAAATACCTGTCAGCAAGTATGTCTGTAACAATACAGACAACAAAAAAGATTCAGGAAATGTTTTTTGACAAATAGATTACTTAGTCATATGAATACAGAACTCTGAGTAATTCATTTCAACTACAATGCAGAACTGTATTTCCCGCACCTCTCAGAAGCAGTGCAAAGCCTTGGGGGAGTCAGGGGTAACGAAGGAGCTGAGGAAGAGGGAAGTAATTGCTGGGAAAGAGCCTGGATGTGAACTTGGAGCAGGGTGGATTTGATTTAAATCACTAGTCAGGAAGACTCGATTTAATCATTGGTTTCTACATAAAAGTGCATTCTTGTTGGTTGTTATAACCTTAATACATATTCTTCACAACTCAGAGATAGATGTAGGTTTCATTTTTAGAAGGTACACACTATACATTTTTAAAGTGATTTATTTTGAAAACTTTTCAGATTAGTTTTACAGCTATATCAGAAAATGAATGATTGTTTGGTTATTTAATTTACCAAAGATAAATGAAGCAGATATTTATGACACCATTGGCAGGTGAACTATCTCCAATTCAACAGATTAATCATTAATATTTGGAGGATTTTCTTGCCATGCTGTATTAGATGTTTTCCTCAAAAAGCATTTTATCAAAAAAATCCAATTTAAATAAAAAATTATTTTTATCCACCTTGACTTGGAGGGTTGTTGGGTATGGATGGGAAAAGTATGGAACAGGTTTTTTTTGGGGGGGGGTGAGGAGGGAGTGCTAGGGAGCTTCCCCCATCCAGACCCTGGCTGACCCCTAGCCTCTCCCATTCAGTCAGGCACATCTGTCTGGCCCCCATGTGTCCTTGCACCCCCTGTCCACAAATGTCTCTCCACCGCCACTCAGACACCCACTCCCCCCATCCCCGTGTGCCCCTGCACCTCCTCCCCCCTGTGGTCCTGCGCCTCTCCTCCCATTCAGCCCCTGCCCCACTCTGTCCTCCCCCACTAGCCCTTATCAGCCTCTATCTGACCCCCCAGCAGCCCCACACTGTCTGTCTCCCCATAGCCCTTGTCTCCTGACCTGACCCAACAGGCACTGTGAAAAAGGCAGGCTCTTTCTCTTCCCTAGCTTGCCAGAAGCTGCTGCTCTGTTCTATCACCACAGCGCCCTCTGGTGGGAAAAAGGTGGAGCTGCAGCAACTTTCCGGCAGAAGCTTTTTTCTGAGCAAAAAAATAAAAATATGCATGACTCATTAATTATGCACGTGCGCAGTGGTGCAGAATTTCCCCAGGAGTAACTATTTTTGCTTGATTGTTGTAGGGTCTGATCCAAAGCCACTGGAGTCAGTTAAAAAAATCCCATTGACTTCAGTGGGCTTTGAATCAGGCCCTTGTTGCCCATGTTAATGTTTTGCTACTTAGACTAGTTTTTCACAATATTTCCATGCAAGTTACTTTAAAATTGCCTTCAGACTGGGTAAATTTGTTTACAAATCAAGCTTTAATACAGAATAATTTGCAGACCCTGAAAGAAAAAGATACAGGAGGGTAGATTGGCAGGGGAAATTCTGTGCTCAGTTCTACCCTGTGCAACTTAATTGATTTGAGTGGAGTTGCATTGGTATAGAATTTTACTCACTATTTTTTCTTTTTCATACTTTGGTTTTCATTTATAACAACCCAAAGTATATGAGAACAAGTCCTATATGTACAATTTATACATGGGTGATAATACAATATTCATGCAATATTAAGGTTAATAATTTATCTGCAAAAAGCTTACAAGAAGTGTTCTGCCTAATCTCCCATGTTCTTGACCTGTAAAAATATTTTCTTCTTGCAAGATTTCCATAAAATCAAGATAGTACTGCTTTGTGCAACCACCAAATTTAGCCAACATTAAAGTTCACAGGGCCACATTAGTGATGTGGATGACATTTTTTGGGCATCTGACAATCGTAGCCTTAGGATTTAAATTTGAAGAATATCCAGAAGTCAGAAATGACTAAATGTTTAGTCAGCATTTTAGCTATCTGTATCAGTACGCTACAAGTGTATTAGCCCTAACATCTCTCTGAAACACAATTACTACTAATCTGAAATAAAATCTTCTAAGGAAAAAAAAAGAGAGAATTTTGTTGATTCTTATCACTGTCTGACTAATACTTTATGCATTTAAAGATGTGCTACAGGCTGTATCTTCAGCAGCTCTTGCAGAACTTGCTCGGGGGAATGAGAAGATGCAGGATGCCATTGCAAATGCAGATGCAATTGGTCCTCTGGTTGAACTTCTCCGTGGAAGGAAAATCACTGTGCAGGTGAAAGGTGCTATGGCTATAGAAGCACTATCGGATAACAACTCTCATATACAGAAACAGTTTCTGGAAAAATCAGCAACAAAATATCTTTTAAAGCTCTTGAAGGCAAGAATTTATTTCGCATTTTTATTTTTCTAAAGTCTTAAATCAATTTGTTCATTAGAAAAAAGCGTAAAATAGGCTGTTACTTGGAATAATTGGAAAACCCGTAATATCATGGAGTAAATAGTTTTTTAAATGTGTAAGACTTAAAATTCTGCTAGTGAAGGAAAAACTTTGGTTTTTTTCAAACTTTCAGGCGTTTCACTTGACAGTTAAGGAACAAGGTGCTACAACTTTGTGGGCACTGGCAGGACAAACACTGAAGCAGCAAAAGCTTATGGCAGAACAGATTGGGTACAACTTTATTATTGATATGCTCTTGTCACCATCTGATAAAATGCAGTATGTTGGTAAGATTTTGTTGTTTGTTTTGCATAAATTTGCAAAATATTGGACAGTTTATTGGAGGTTTTTAAACATACATTTTTGCTTTGTTTTGGAAGGAGGTGAAGCAGTCATAGCTCTTAGCAAAGATAGTAAACTTCATCAAAATCAAATATGTGAAGGAAATGGAATTGGTCCTTTGGTTCGATTGTTGAGAAGCACAAAGATAGCAGAGGGCACGCTCCTGAGTGTCATCCGAGCTCTGGGGACCATTTGTATTGGTTTGTAGAATTTCTTATGTTTTAAGTTGTTGTTTTTTTTAAAACAAACAAACAAACAAACAAACCTTAAGTGGTTTTGAATGGGAAAAATGCAAACCAGTTTGAAACAATATCAATGAAAGAAGAAAATATTTTATTTAGTATTACATTTGGATAGAATTGAAATATAACTTTTCAATATATGGAAAAATCATTAAATTTGGATAGAATTGAAATATAACTTTTCAATATAAGGAAAAATCATTTGCCATGAACAAAATTCTTACTTTATTCATACATTAAAGCTTTGTGTACATTACATAATTTTGTCATGGTAACCACAGTTTGGAGCCCCTAGCATGCCTATGAAATGTAACACACAAATTGCTTTCAGTAATGTGTATGTGATTAAAATGCCACAGCTAAACACCATGTGGTCCTTCCCCTTGCCAGTTTCCACCACTGCAGTGCCAATGTAGACAAATAGTTTTGGTGTAGCAGCCCAACAGTGAAAATAATCTTCTCACTCCCCCAGTGCCACTGCTTAGGTGTACTTTCTAATCTACTATCTGGGATAAAGGTTTCCAGTTGGCACTTTACTATAGAAATTTCCCCGCACAAACCATTGTCTTAATCTGTGGTTATTTTGTCAGCATCAGCTACTTTTCTAGCATTGTTATTATCCCATAATTGGCTTCTCTGTCAGTATGTTTCAGAAGAAGCTTCTTATGAGCATGCTGCTTCCAGCTGTCTGGGTCGTGGGGACCATCTGGGGAGGTAGTTAAGCTGAATTCTGTGTGATTTAGAGTACCTTGGTCTATGACTGGGTGATGGAATGACTTAACAAGTAGGCCATTGCTGAGTTTAGCAAGCAGTGCCATGACAAGACTTGGGGTACATCTGCATTGCAGTTTTTAAAATCCATGGCAGCGAGTCTCCGAGTCCAAGTCTAAAAACTTGGGCTCATGCTACAATGCTAAAAACAGCAGTGTAGACATTGTGGCATGGGCACTGAAACCTGCCCCCAGCTCCAGCCTGAGCCCGAATGTCTACACTTTTTTTTGTAATAGCGTATCATGAGCCCTGTGAGCCAGAGTCTGTAGACCTGGGCTCCGAGACTTGTTGCCATGGGTTTTAAAATACAGTGTACCCTAACAGGCTGATCATGCACTAAAAAAGGCACTGATAACAGCCAGCCCAGTGAAAGGGAAAAAAAGTGTGTGCTGCATTGTCTCGTGAATTTCATGTAGAAAGGTTCTAGTACATGGAGCTGGTTACTCCTTGATGAATATGTACATGAACTTCGCAATATGAAATCTTTTAGCTGTTGGTCTTGTTCTCTGACTATCTGTGCGTTCCTATTTTTGTAATTCTTGTCATATCCTGGCTGGCTGGTTTTTTATTACCCTTATTTGTTAAGCCACATCTAAAAACTAAGAATGTAAATTCTTTTGGGACTGCAATCTGACTTGGGGGTATTATAAAAATAAAAATATTAATTTTATGCCAACTTATTTCCTTATGGTGTATAAAAAAGGCCTGAAAGTTTTTTTTTCTTGTTTTCATCCTCAAAATATCAGAAATGTCAAGTCTTGTCATGCCTGTTTTTGTTGGAAGACTTTGATGACCTAAATATGTGGATTGAGTGCTGTCACGGCCCTTAAATGAAGGTGTTGAATCCTTAATAAAGGCATATTTTCTTTCATATTTAAATTGGTGTTAACCAAAAAAAAAAAAAAAAAAAAAAAAAAAAAAAAAAAAAAAAAAAAAAAATAAAAAAAAAAAAAAAAAAAAAAAAAAAAAAAAAAAAAAAAAAAAAAAGCCCCAAGCCAAAAACCAGTATCTTAAAAAGTTTAAAATCACTTCCTATTTCAGTTACTCAAGTTTTAGTTGTACAATTGCTCTGATGTAAAAACCTACTAATTCTCCAACATCCATAGAATTTTCTGAGATGCACAAAACCTGAATTTCGATGTAAAAAGCAAAAGGGGGAAAATACTTTTTTGCCACGGGAATTGCCTCCCTTTCAGGACTTTTTTTGTATATCATAAAGAAGAAAAAAGGCACAAAACCACTCTTGGGTTTTGTACTTTTTGTGGCTGTTTTCCTTTAAAGCAAAATGTTTTTTACAGCAGTGTATTATATGTCCACCAAATTAATTGTCACGCTGGATGATTGACCTGACAACCATAGAAAGCCATGTCATTCACATTCTAATGCTATTTCTATGAGAGAGGCATGAGAAAGTGGATGCGACTAACAGGAGAGATGCTGGAAATGTGAATGTTGCATCTACTACTTGTTTGGAGAGTACCAGCATTCCTCCCCAACTTCAAACCCCGCCAAAGAGGACATTTTTGTTGTCATCGTGTACAGCAAGAAACTTAACAAGCTCTTGAAACCTTCTTGTCTAAACTCTTTTTGGTATTTCATAAAAATAAGGTATTTTCAGTATTTTCATCCCAAATTCCTTACTCTGATTTTCTTGAAATTTAATGTAAACCAGATCAGATCATTTCCTTTCCCCTAACCTACATTCATCCCAAGAATAACATGTTTTTAGAACAGATGTGAAATGAGTCTTCAGGTTTGGCAAAATGTATTTGTCCTCTTAAAATAAGCTCTCTCTCCTGTCTCTTCTTGACATATGAGGCTAGATCAGCTGGATAAACCATACTAAATGGTGAATCTGAAATAGTCAAGTGCATTGTATCCAATTACAAGGAAGCAGAGGTACCCATTCTAGAAAATATTTATGTTCAATTGCTAAGAGTAAAAGTGACACCTAAGGCAGCTTTTAGTCAAGTCTCTGGAATTTTAAATGTCTGTGCATGTATTTGGAAATCATTACTTAGATTTAGTCAGCACTATTATTTAGGGTAGGGTGGACTTTTTGGCAAAGTGGTTCTCCAGTTTCTCTATAACTAGAAATACCCTCAGGCAGCCAACCTTTGGGATAATTAGTGCTTATTACAGTCTCCAAGACTTTGTTTGGAAACATGTTAATGAAAATTCACCATCTGCTGGGCTTCTCTGAATTTACTCCATATTTACCATCCTTTCCTCCATATATCTTTTTCTAGGGAGCTGTCAGCAATAGAAGCCAGGCATACCTTTATGTACACACGGTCCTTGTACATAAAGGTAAAACACCTGGATCAGCTCTAATACTTAGTTATTTCAAGTGAAAAGAGTATAGTACTGTTATTCTTACGTAATCTGCCACAATTAGGTATAAACTGGACAATTTTTCTTTATGCTTTCTGTTTTTCTCTTGCACAAATGTCTTACACGGGATACATCTGACATGTGGACTCTTACAGGTGTGGCTCATACAAACAATCCAGTCAGCCAGGAAAACATAGTGGACGAACAGGCCTTACCAATACTGGTTCACCTGCTTAAAAATCATAATTCTCTTCAGATAAAGGTGTGGAATAATGGTGTGTGTGAGGGGGTTTCTATGTATGTGTGAGCATGTTCTGTGGCTGAAAAATATTCTGAACTGAACTTTCTGAGAACACTTCTTGCCATCTTTTTGCAGCTTAGAGCATGAGAAAACAAAATTAAATAAATAACATCCCTCCTTAACAAGACACTTCAAAAGCCAGCTACTGAGGAATAATTGCAAACTATGCCTAAAAAACGACTTACTTTTAAGTGTATGAAGGCAATCATAAAAGTAATTTAAAACTTAAAAGATGTGCTGTAAGGATTCTGTTTTCCCCCTGTGGATTTATCTTGAGTAAGTTGTTTTTTCTAGATGAGCTAATTGCTCATGAATATTGGACTTCCCTATGCTAATTCATAACATCCCTTTTGAGTTTGTTTTTTATGCAGGGAATAACATATGACAGTTTGATATGCTGGCACATCTTCAGTGCACAGTGAGGCATATGGGACCAAACCTACCTGCTGGTCATAGAATATCAGGGTTGGAAGGGACCTCAGGAGGTCATCTAGTCCAACCCGCTGCTCAAAGCAGGATTTTTGCCCCAGATCCCTAAATGGCCCCCTCAACGATTGAACTCAAGACCCTGGGTTTAGCAGGCCAATGCTCAAACCACTGAGCTATCCCTCCTCCGATGAGAGCATGTGAATACTTTGCTTCTCTAAAGGTGCAGTAAGTATAAGTATAATATATCCACAATTCTGGAGTCTTCATTCCTTCGAATATGACAACGCTTGGAATGACCAGGCTCAGAATGCTTTAAATCTGTTTTTTGAGACATTAAAGCTATAATGAGGATTGGCTGAAAAACTTATGAATCTGGTCATACAGAAGCATGGCTCTGCATTTGAGTGTTACTGCTGTCTTCAAAGAACAAGAATTACAAGTCGGTCATTTTGTTTCTCTAATCCTAAAGTATAGATATAATTTAAACTACATAAATAAACCAATTAACCAAAGACCTTGTAGTGTAATGGACAAAATACCATTTGTTTATGGTATATAAATTACAAGAGCAATCAGTTCTCACTTCAAGGCACAAGCTGATCATGATTTGAGGTCAGGAACATAGGAATTCACATACTGGTCCAGACCAGAGGTCAATCAGCAGACCAGTATGCTTTACAGGAAGATGCAAGAAACTCTGAAGAGGGCAGTTAAGAAGTAACCTGACCATACAGGAAGTTTTTTCTTAACACCTTTAATTCAGTGCCTGGCTTATGCCATGAAGCATGAAGGTTTATATCCCTTAAAAATAATATATTTTGTAAATTTCATCTAGTGTAAATGTGGATGTTTCCATTTACATATAAATATTGAATCCTTTTTTTTTTTTTGGCCTCAATTATATTTTGTTCAAGTGAGTTTTCCTACATACTGTGACAGACCCAGACCAGTGGGGTACAGGAGTCTGGTAGAGGGCAAATATACTGGTCACTGGATGAGTAGTTTTCTGTTCCCTGAGTGACCAGAGCAGGGGCTGCACTAGAGTAATCAGGAACCTGCTAGAACCAGTTAAGGCAGGCAGGCTAATTAGGACACCTGGAGCCAATTAAGAAGAAGCTTCTAGAATCAATTAAGGCAGGCTAATCAGGGCACCTGGGTTTTAAAAAGGAGCTCACTTCAGTTTGTGGCGAGAGTGTGAGGAGCTGGGAGCAAGAGGCGCAAGGAGCTGAGAGGGTGTGCTGCTGGAGGACTGAGGAGTACAAGCGTTATCAGACACCAGGAGGAAGTTCCTGTGGTGAGAATAAGGAAGGTGTTTGGAGGAGGCCATGGGGAAGTAGCCCAGGGAGTTGTAGCTGTCATGCAGCTGTTACAGGAGGCACTATAGACAGCTGCAGTCCACAGGGCTCTGGGCTGGAACCCGGAGTAGAGGGCGGGCCCGGGTTTCCCCCAAACCTCCCAATTGACCTGGACTGTGGGTTCTTCCAGAGGGGAAGGTCTCTGGGCTGTTCCCCAACCCACATGGTGAATCTCTGAGGCAAGAAAATCCGCCAATAAGCGCAGAACCCACCAAGATAGAGAAGGAACTTTGTCACAATACTTAGTTTTCTAGTATAAACTGATTTGTTGCTTATTAAATAAAATATGCCATGAATTTGCTCTGCAAAGTGTAAGTATATAATATCTGCATTTTTCTTTAAAATATATATTTAGGTTGAAGTTGCATATTCCTTGGCTTGCATTGTTTTAAGGAACAGTAATTTACAGGCTGTGTTACAAGAGGAGGAAGGTTTCGATTATAGTGATGTTCTTGAACTTCTTAATGCACCTGATAAGGTACTGTACTTGGTAAAGTAGCAATATTAATTTAGGAAAAAGTATTCTATATTACTGTCATAGTGTCACCATAAGCCAAATATGGCATACCAAATTTACTATACTGTAGCTCCAAATGTTTACTGTATGGACTTCACATGTCAGACACACATATCAAAAGTGTGTCCTTTTAATATAACTATTTTTAAAATATTCTTATGGGTTGGGTTAAACTTTACTGAAGCCGGTGGGTGTAACAGCTACTCTTAATTTGATAGCTGTAAGAAACAGTTAAGCTCATTTATAGCAGTCCTCACCCAAAACAAAGGCATATGGAGAAGGAAGCTGCAGACATAGCCTGGTCCAGGTCGGTGTGTGTCCCTGACAGAATCCTAGAGAGAAGACTTTTGGGCCTTGTGCTGGCTAAAAGAGGTTTGAGCCTGTGAGTAAGGAAACAGTCTCATATTATTTGGGTCCTCATGTGTTCAGGGAAACAGTACATTCTTTGTAAATAAACAAAATTTCATCAGAGAAAAACTCCAACTCCATCACAAATTTCTCCTCCTAACTAGAACAGCTTACAAAGACCCCAAATTGTTGGCTACCAGCTTGAGTCAAAAGGGGTAACAGTATAATTATTTAATAAGTTCTATAGTTTTATTTAGATTTGGACATATAGTTTTGAAATTAAAAATGTATATGATAGGCTGAAGTACAGTTGCAGCAGGGTTAATGGTATAAATGCTATCACAATTTCAAGACTAATATATTGTTCAGAATCAAGGCACACGCTAAATTCATGACCACAAGATCCTCAGTTTAGGAAGAAGCTACTGACTACTGCAAAAAGGGACAAACCTTAAACCCAGAATATGTGTAAGTGACTTGGTAGTCCTTTCCATCATGCACACATCCTCTGGAAGTGCTAATCATTCCTGAGGACAATTGTGCCTGATATGGAAGGATGTTGGAGGGGATCAGAGTATGTGCATGTTCCTCTTGCCCCTATCACCAGAGAGAGGGATTTCTTTAGGCTGAGGGTCCTTTACTTTCTCCCAGACTCACACTTCCATTTCAAAGCAGTGAGCTGCAAAATCACTGTTGGGCTTCATTGCTACATCCATCCAGTCTTCTCAGCTGTCAGCCACAGAGGCTTGTGTTCTGAAGTGGATTTGGGGAGGCTTAGCACATGCTCAGTACCTTCCCAACAGCATCTTCCAGCTTCTGGTAGTTGGGGTGAGGGAGGCTAGACAGCCATATGGGTGCCTCTGTGTGTGTTCTTTCTCATTCTGGGGACAAACAGACCTCTGCAGCTGTAGAGTCTAGCTGAATCACACAGTTTGTGCTGTACATCATCTACCTTATGTTTTACACTGCTGCCCCTCACCATAGTGTCTGAAATACTTCCATGTAAAATCAAAAGCAATAGTGAAGTCCTTAGTGGACTGTATGGCGTCTCTGACACTTCAGGGACACTTCAGGAAAAACTGCAGGGATAGGGTTTGTTTTTTTTAAATTTTATTTATTTCATTTTTTGTTCTGTCTGTTTTAGGAGGGATTTTTTTTTCTTTTGTTCTTGATTGGGGTGTTTTTTTTTGTTGTTGTTGTTGTTGTTGTTAAAGAGAAGTGTCAGTGTGGTGAGTGTCATTCTTATTGTTATCTAGTCTCTGAGGGTTTGGCCTGCAGTATTTATATGAAAATCAATAAAAACAAAGACGAAAAATATGAGGCTAGGGGTTGGTAACTATTTTAACATATCAAAGAATACAGTATTTTATTCTTTAATTTTTAGATAGTATGAAAACTTCAGAGCTTGCATGTTTCTGTGGGGTTTTGTATTTTTTTTTTTTTTCTTGAAGGATATTTGTTTACGAGCTGGATATGCTTTAGCCCTTTTTGCATACAACAATCCTGTCCAACAGTTCCTGATATTGGAAACCGGCGCAATTATGATGTCTACATTTGAACCTTTTCTACGATCAGAAATTGAGACAGATAAAGCAATGGCTGCATTTCAGGTATAGGAATAGGGCGTTTACTCATAACACACAAAACAGATTATACATTTTGGGCCTATGTGTAATGTTATGGTTATTAGTATAACTGATAGAACTGATTTTTACACAAAAATATTAATATAAAGTCCTTTTCAAAGAGCTTAAATGGCCGAATATAGTAACACTTATAAAATGTGTAAATTACATTACAGATTCTAAAGATCCTAGTCTTCTCTGCAAGTCTCCATCATGAACTATTTCAAAAATAATCAGAACTTGGGACTGTTTTTGATGGTAGAAGAAAATGTTGGCTATAGACTTGATCCTGTATCTTTACTCAGACAAAAATCAATGGGAATTCTGTCTGATTAAGGAGCGCAGGTTTTTTCCCTATGTGTTTTTTAATTTAGCATAAGAAAAGAGTAATCATCGTATCAAGATCATTTTAACAAACCAACAAATGTATAGAGTGGTGGAAAAGTCTGAAACATCTGAAGATGTATGAGTTATATGAATAAAATTGCTTGTATTGCACTGACATGTCTATACTAAGGTTGTGCCTTTTTCTGCCAATAGGCAAAGGTCCAAAGTGCAAGTGATAGGGTTGAAAGTGTCATGTAAACGTACAGCACTATACACAATAAGTGATTTTTTTATTAATAAGTGAAGAAAAAAGGAAACAGAAGAAACCTATTTAAACAATCTGTATCTTTTAAAAATTGTCTGCCTTTGATTTCAGATTGTTGTTTTAGCCAGAGTCATAGTGGATGTGGACCAAGTTACTTTGTCTGCAAGAGGTGTTACTATTTTAGTTGAACTACTAAATTCTGAAAAGACAGCTACTCTTGTTCTAACAGGTAAGAATTATAGAAGATGAGCAAAAACTCATAGCAATATAAAGTTAAGTATTTCCATAAAATACTGTTGTTTCTCCAAAATGAGATATTGAACAGTAGGATAGTGAAACTTACTGTTTACTATTAGATGGCAGACTCAGGTCAGGAGATTGGCTCTTCCAAAATGACTGCACAAAGGAGTAAGAGGACATAAGGCAGAGGTGGGCAAACTACGGCCCGTGGGACCGTCCTGCCCGGCCCCTGAGTTCCCGGTCGAGGAGGCTAGCCCCCTCCCCCTCCCTAGCTGCCCCTCCTCCCCCGGAGCCTCAGAGCACCGCGCCACCAGCGCTCTGGCCCGCCGCTCCTGTCGGGCAGCGCGGGCGGCGTGGCTGGCTCTGGCCGGGCAGCGAGCTCCTGCTGCTCTGAGCAACATGGTAAGGGAGTGGGGGCTGGTTAAGGGGCAGTGGTCCCGGGGGCAGTCGGGACAGAGAGCAGGGGGCGGTTGGATGGGCGTGGGAGTCCGGGTGGGGGGGGCTGTAAGGGAGCGGGGGTATGGATAGGGGTCAGGGCAGTTGGGACAGGGAGCGGGGGGATTGGATAGAGGGTGGAGTCCCGGGGGACGGTTAGGGGTGGGGGTCCCAGGAGGGGTGGTCAGGGGACAAGGAGCAGGGGGGGTTGGATGGGTCACGGGTTCTGAGGGGGACAGTCGGGGGGCAGGAAGGGGGTGGGCACCAGGCTGTTTGGGGAGGCACAGGCTTCCCTACCCAGCCCTCCATACAGTTTCGCAACCCCGATGTGGCCCTCGGGCCAAAAAGTTTGCCCACCCCTGACATAAGGCATCTCTTGGTCTGCTTACAGCATGAGGGAGGGAGGAGCAGCTGCCTCTGCAGGGCTTTTACTCCCACTCCCATGCCCCACTATGGTCTGCCTAGCATAATTAAACTAATGTAGAGGGAGAAGTAATCTGCATTAGGAAAAAAGATTTGGCAGATTACTTTCCCCCCTCTAACAAGGTAGGACCCAGGGACTGAATTGTGACTCTGAGACACAATTTAGTCCCTCGTCTGTTTCTGGGGCAGCACAGGTTACATGCTGCCCCTTACCCTGGGCAAACTGTAGATTTATAATCTGGCCTTCCATTTTTATTCAATTCTTGCTCAGGCAAAATTCATATAGAAATCAATGAGAGTTTTGCTTTGGTAATAAATGAGTAAAAACTGAAGAAGGATTTCAAGATTTTGCTCAAAGACGATAAAGGAGATGAATTTAATAAAATACTGCTACAGTATTTTAAAATGATTCCTCTTACAAAAGCAAATTTCTTGGAGGCAGAAATCAACATTTTAGATGCAATAGATATAAAAAACGTATTGAGAATATCACAGTAGAAATAATGACAGAAGACAAAAGACTGTGGGTATGACGACTTCCCTGATAATATTTAAACACTTTTTGAAAAAACAAAGCATTTCATTAAGATTATGCAGGAGACTAGAAGTGAGCAAACTGATAATATGTTTGACATTATATGATGTGTAATTCCAGTGTCTAATTAATTTGTAGGGAAGTTATTGGCTAGCCTGGCTCATACAAGAGCAGGTGTTCCAGAAGCAATTACTGAACTAGGAACTATCAAACGTCTTTGTTATCATTTGTACTCAGATAAAGAAGAGGTAAAATTTCTCCCATCTCCCCAAAATAAAATGTTCATGTTGTGGTTTTAAATTTATTTTTCTTCTTTATTAATTATATCTATTTGTTTGAAAAATTAGCTGATGAATGTTAGCTTTATATGTAGTAATAGAAATATTTTATAAAACCTCACTAAACAACCAAAAAGCCACATTAAAAATAAGATAACTGTGTAAGACAAAGATCCTGGCCCCATTGAAATCAATGGCAAAACTTCCACTGACTTCAGTGGGGCCAGGATTTCCCCCAAAGGTTTCAGTGTATGTTTGTTAAATTCGTAAATCCTGATCATGAATGGTAAATTTCTTACCTGATAATTTCCTTTATAATTGTAGTATCTACCACTATTCTGAGATGTATGTGAAGTAGTGAGCAGTGAACAGAAGTCAGGAGAAATAAGAAACAAGATTGAGATAAGGAAGACACCCCCCCCCAACTCCAAGTTAATTGCCCCAAATGGCAATGCTATTACTAGACCACTGCTTGTAGCATATCGCTGCCACAGGAGGCCTCTGTGAAGGATAGAAAGTCCACTTTTATAGGATCTAATAAAGGTGTTAACTTATGACCACGTTGCTGCCCTGCAGATTTCTGAAGTAGAAGCATAAGTTCTTTTTGCCTATACAGTCATCATAGCTCTTGTGGCATGTGCCTTAATGCCTTCTGGACTGGAGCACCTGGCATCTTGCATGCTTCTATGATGCGTTGCTTGATCCATATAGTTACTAATAGCTTGGATACCCTAAGCCTTTGGTTCTTTGGATGAAAGGATACAAACAAGGAGCCCTAGCTTCTTGTTGATTTGGGGCACATGTTACAGCTCTTTAGTGCTTTTTTGAACATCTAAAGTGTGCCACAGCTTTTTCTCAGATGCTGTGGCTTTGGACAGAATGAAGGAAGGAGTATCTCCTGTGAGGAATGGGAAAATGAATTCACCTTAGGCAAGAATGATTCTGGTATTCTTCACACCAGCTTTTTCACACCTGGAATACACAGTGAGATTCCTATGTGAATATAGCTACCAGTTCAAAAACTCATCTAGCAGACATGATGGTGACCAGAAAACAGATTTTGATGGATAGGTAGAATAGAGATATTGATGTCAATGGCTCAAAAGGGTGTGGCTTAGGACTTTTAATTCCTATTGGAGGTTCCATTTGGGAACAAATGGTTTAACCACAAGTTTTGCCAGTCTGATTGCTCTAAGAAATCTGGATTCTTGAGGGTTCTCTTAAGGAACCAGAGGATCCAGAAAATAGGAGGCTACTTATTGCTGACACCTGGTGTGGTATGGAGCTGGGCTGAATTCCATTGTTTACCCCTTCCTGAAGAAAGTCCAGGATATCTGAGATATCAGGATCCTTGGGATTTTTGTTATGTTCTTCACACCACAAGCTAAACGTAGTCCAGATGGAGGAGCAGCCCTTTAGTGTTGAATCTTGCCTGGAGGAGAAGAGTTCTAATTGCTTTGGAAGATCACTTGCACAGCTAAGGCTTCTAATGGTAACCGTGCCTCAAAGGGTCACAATTGAGGATGCCAAATTCAGGATGAACTGGTGAGAAATAGGGCAGATACACCCCAAGACTGATGGCTAATCCCCCTTAGGATATACTAAACCAGCAACAAAAGTAAACTTCTGTTTCACCACACTGGCTAACAAGAAGTCATAAAAGCAGTTTCCTCTGTCATTTCAGTCCTTGTATTACCACTGAAAACACTGGATTTAAAGGTGAGTGGTTCTTTACAACCAGTCTCATCAACTAAAAGGTTCTTCTGATCCCAAAGGACCAGCCACACACCCACGTCAATATATAAGTTATATCTTACCCAAAAATCATGCTGATGCCAATCCTTTAGTATCTAAAAACTAAAGGTTTATTCATAGAAAGAAAGAGAGAAAGAAAGAAGTGAGAGTTAAAATTGGTTAAAGGAATAAAATACATACAATAAATGCAGAGTTCTTGGTTCAGGCTTGTAGCAGAGATGGAATAAACTGCTGGTTTAAGTCTCTGGCAGCTTCCAAATCATTGGAAGGTCCTCAGTCCATTGGTTAGAATGCTTTAATCTGGGTGTGGATGGAGAAATGGGCCTTGGTAAAGGATGTCTGGTCTCACTGAGAGCTGCACTGGTGGTTCCGATTTCAGTTCTATCAGATTGGAGAATCATGATCTCTTTGGCCAGCGTGAAGCTATCTTTGCTTCTTCTCGCCTTATCTTCTGGATCACCTTCCCTAGAAGTGGAAAGGACAGAATTGCATAAAACAGGCCTTGTGGCCATATGTGCAAAAAAGCAACTGTTCTCAAAGATCTGAGGTCTGATTCCCTGGCGAAGTACTAGAGTCACTTAGCATCTTTATGATTGGTGAATAGATTGACTGCCAGAAGGCTGAATTCTGCAAAATCAGAGTGATTCGGGCACCATTCTGAGTTTTTGATTATGCGTCTGCTGAGCCAGTCTGCCTTTGGATTCAGCTCTCCTTTTATGTATATTGGCCTTATGGAAGGGAGAGTCCTCTCTACCCATTCCATTATCTCCATTACTTCTGTGCATAGTAACGCTCCTTGTTCCCCATTGGTTGTTGAGATATGCCACATTGGTTGTGTTGCCCAGGACATTTTTCTACCTCTATGTAGTTCTGCAACCTCTGTAGGGCTAGCTTGATGGCTCTAAGCTCCAATAGGTTGATGCTCTGGTTCCTTTTCCTGGAGTTCTAGGCACCTTGTGCTGTCCAACCCAGATGCGCTCTCCATCCCGACAGGATGGCCTCACTTGTGAGCAGGAGTGGTGAAAGCTCCCTAAAAGTGTGTGGGGGGCACCGACTCCCAAACCATGTCCCCCCCGTGCCGCCCCTTCTCCTTGAGGCTTTTCCATCCACTCGCTCCTCTCCCCCATTCACCCCCTATCGCTCGCCCTTACAGCTGGTAAAAAGTGATGGGACCATGTCTCCCCCCCCCCCCCCCCCGTTCTGGTGCCCCTGCTTGTAAGTAACTGTGGGTCTGGAAGGCAAATGGGAAGACTCCTGCGGAGGTTCTGTGGGATTGCCCACCACCTTTGAGAGTTCAGCATCTGGTTGGGAACCAGTACCTGATCTTGCATGCATTGTGGTGAATTGTTCCATACTTATAGGAGAAACGCCTAGAGGCACCTCACCCCTGGGGTGATATCTGTATTTGAAACCAGGAGGTCCAGTAACTGTATACATTGAGATAACTGTTTGGCTGCAAATCTGTTATTACTTGTTTTTAAAGTTGTTTTTAATATAGAATTGTAAATCTAGATGGAGTATTATTAAGAATTAGCCAAAATAATAAAATTAATAGTAATTTAAATTTTTTATTATTTCTAATAAATAATATTATCAGGCACACTTATCAACATGGATTAAAGCCAAATACTTTTGTTCATCTTCCCATGGCTATTCATCTTTTCCAACGTGTGCCTCATTATAAGATGCTTAAGCTTGTTCTCATTAAAGTCAATAGTAAAACTCCCTGTGGTGTAGGATCAGGCCTGAAGTGTGCATCAGGCTACCAGTGGTAGACCCAAATTTATCTTCTTTTTACTGGTGGGGGTTTTTTCTGTTATTTTAAATTATTGACTATTATTCTGATCCTCATTTGGTGGTTTTGTCAGGTTGGGAGCTGTGAGCATGCATCCTTGCTCTGTTTTGATAATATAGTTGCTTTATTTAATGTGAAGAATACATCTTTGAAATCAGAATTATAATCAGCCTCAAACCATTATCAGGGACAACATTTCTGTTTCTTCTAGGTTCGTATAGCCTCAGCTGGTGCTCTTGGATACTTAACATTTAACCGCACTGCTTATCGCCATCTATTAGTGGAATGCAGGAACAAACCCAAGCAGTTCACACGTCTAATGAATAACATCAGCAGGGATGCAAAAATAAGCCAGGACTTTGTAAAAGAATTCCAAAGGCAAAGACAAGTGGGACTGCCTTCTTTAAGGTACCATATGCTGTACATTTATATGGGTGTGTGTTTACTGAAGTTAAAAAATGAAATAGAAATGATTATATGATTTTATATTTAAGGATAAATTTTCCAAATATGGCAGCAGAGGTCTGTATGCAAAAAATGCACGTGCATACAACTAAGCCATTGGTGCATGCAAAAAGATATTTGTTCATGCAAGTACCTTTTGTGGGCACAGTTAGTCAATTTGCTTTGGCAAAAGTGGGTACATGTATATGTGAATGTTGGCCTCAACTTTAAGAAAATGTATCCTTCCTTGTGCACAAATATTTCCTTACTCCTCTCAAGCCTAATCTCATATTCTGTGTATATATTTCAAATATATGCACACTTTATCGCTGCTTTACAAGATGGTATCTTTTTTCTCATGTGAAAACCTAGGTGATATACTAGGAACCAGTAACACCAGTCTCAAAATATTAAGGTAACATTATCATTTGCAAATATCTTAGGCAAAATAGTCAATTGACAAAATCCAAAGTAATAAGCTGGGGCAAGTTCTGTCAGGACCCTGTGCATGAGCATGAATCAGAATCCTGTGCCCGGCGCGGGGAGTGCATAGCAGAAGTTTTACATCGCTAACATGCTCCCCCAAAACGCACAGGTCCTCCAGAAATGGTGGTGGTTTTGTTCTGGAACATGATTTACATATTTTTTTGAATAGATGCAATTGACTCGGCATTAGACCAGTCTGTGGAGAGTGAAAGGGGCCATCTCCTGACAGGATTCATTCCTGGCCAAAATGGGTGTATGTTAATGTTGATTTTTAGCATATGTATTGGGTTGTGTTCATTGTGGGGCCATTCATGGAGGCAAAATTTAGCTCCTTGTCAAAAAGCTGTACATCAAATTTAAATGCTCTGTTTATTATTTATATTTATAAAAATCCATTCAATACTCAGAGCTACTACAAAAAATTAATGGTAGAATTTAGAGTAAGTTATGGGCATCTCCAATCCCATATAAAAAAACAAAACAGAATTTATAATTAAAAAGACATATTGAAATGAAAACATAAAAATATAACTTATTTAGAAATTAAATGAATTTAGTTTATTATTGGTATTACAGTAGCATATTGAAACTCGGTCAAAGGTAAGGTCCTCATTGTGCTAGGCTCTGTATGACTAACAAAAAGATGGTCCCTGTCCCAAAAAGCTCACAATCTAGGTTTAAGACCGAAGAGGCAGAAGAAACAAACTGATGGGCAGGAAGAGAGTGGGAGGACAAGGTAATAGTAAAATGAGCATATTTTGCATAGTAGGCAGTGAGTTTAGTCTATCATCTGCCTACCATAAGCAGCTGGTAGTGCTTTTTAAAGTTTTTGTGACAGAGGTACTTGGAGGACAAGGTGGTGGCTCTGCAGATTATGACAGGTTTTCCCCCATATATAAAGGGGTATAAAAGAAAGTGTACAGGTGGTTTTGGGAGAAGAGGACCATCTTTGACAGTTCAGATTACATGGTATAGTTAAAGATAACTTTGGCGCCGTAATAATCCACCACAAGAACATGTTAAGAGTTAGACCCTCTCAACCATAGCCCTTTGGGAACAGTGCAGGAAAGATGACTGTTGCTAGAACAGAATTTCCCTGTAGATTCAGTAAGCCAGTAGTTGACAGCAGCTGCTAGCCTGCACGCTCTCATCCTCCAGTTGTGAGGGTAGAACCTATCTCCCACCTCTACAACATGGGGTTGCAATGGGAGAATATCCCCACCCCCTTATGCCAACTCTGGGTATGGGATGGGTTGTGGATATGAGACCCTACAACTTCTTTCCCTCAATGATAAAAATGAGAAGAGAGAGAATGTTTTAACAAATGTTACTGTAAACAGGAATCAAAGTTTAAATGCAGGCTCGTTAACTTTCAGCACCACAATGCTGCCTAGTTATTCTGCCCCTCTATGAGGTGTATTTACACAGAGTAACAGGAAGTTATGGCCAGGCCCTCATATGTCAGAAGACCTATGCAAGCCAGCCATGCTAGCAGTTGCAGTAAGCATATTCAGGGAACACTGCTGAGACAGAACTTCTGTGATTGTATTCACTACTAATGTTACAAAAGTGATTTACTTTTGCTGTATTTTAAATTACTATAAATTATAGCCAGTTATGGAAATAAAACCTAGCAATCCAATAAAACAGTTCTCATGGAAGGTATGGTATCGGACGGTACATCAGTTTATTCTAGCGAATAAACCTAGGACATAATAGGAATAAAGAAAATCTATCTGACAAACTTATATCCATGTTTACAAAGAGTTTTAGAAACCTGACAAACTTATATCCATGTTTACAAAGAGTTTTAGAAACCTGGTTTTTATAGTCAAACTCTTGCATGAATGATTAGGAACTATAATGTACTAACTACATTCAGGTTAATAAAGAGAGAATTCTAAAGGAAACAGAATTAGTAGTAGGGTTTGGAATGCCGATAAATACATGGTTTCTTCTGTGCAGTGATGCTTCCTTTCAATTCTGTCATTGATTATATTTCTTTTAGAATTCTTTCCCAGAATTTACATAAATCAGTCAATTCCTAGAACATGTGGTGATAATCTTCCATGTAAGTTTTACATTTCTAACAGCTGTTACACTTTCATACTTAATCCTAAACAGTGTGATTTGCGTCTTGTTAAAATATCCATGTAACTATGAATTCCTTACAATTTCATTTTGAGTTCTGAGTGATACTTTAAAGCTAAAAGGAACATTTGCGTAAGAGTGCTGTGCTTAAATTTATGTCTCAATAATAAACAAAATAAAACCATACTTCCAAACTGGAATCAGAAAATACCACCCACTGTTCAAGGACAGATTGTGACATAAATGGAAAATGGATTGAATGATACTCTAACATTAGACTTATAAGACAACATACATGGAAACAATTTGTAGATATCAGCTAAGATTCTGATAGGATCCCCCTCCTTTCCTTTAAACTAACATGTAACAAATATAAATTAAATATATTATTCCCATACAAAACCCTCCTATGTGGTGGTGATGAGATTTCAGACATATATCAGTACTTTGAATTTCAATAATTTTTTTAATTAAAAAAAAAAAGAAATTTTTAAGATTAAATTTACAAGAAACACCAAATTTTGAAAGCCTTGAAATTCAAAGTTAAGATAGGTTTCAGAGTAGCAGCCGTGTTAGTCTGTATCCGCAAAAAGAACAGGAGTACTTGTGGCAGCTTAGAGACTAACAAATTTATTTGAGCATAAGCTTTCGTGGGCTACAGCCCACTTCTTCGGTTGCATCGTTAAGATAGTCGAACTAGCTAAGTGTTCTGTAATTAGTGTCAAATTTGTATGTTTCTGATACTAAATGTGATGACTTGTCATCACACTAACTTTTGTTTTTAATGTAAATACTTTAATATAATGATCTGTGTCTAAAGAGACTTAGATTAATAGCTGCCAAACAGACAGAGGCCTGATGCTATGAGGTTCTCAGTGCCTTCTGTACTTTGAAGGATTGGGACCTTAAGAACAAGTGGGGAAAAATTGCCTTCAGCATTCTATTTATCTAATGAGGAATTTGTAAAATTATTTTGTGTGTATTGTGTATAACACTTAAGGTGGTAAAGTGGCACTGTGGGCTGGATTGTAACTACAATCTGGCCTAAGAGACACTATGTAGTTGCACTGCCCCAGGAGTAAAGCAGGAACGGGACCCAGATCAACAAAGAGACTTAGGCACCTAAACCCCAGATTTAGGTGCCACTGCAATCCATAAAACCCTAGTTTAGCTGCCACCTAACTCCGTAGGTTCCTAAACTCACTCAGTGCCTAAATTTTGGCTGTAACAGTTTCCTAAGCACCTAAGAGGCTGCCTTTGGGCATGTGCACTGTTGCTTCAGGCAGGCACTCAGGCATCTATCTCATAAGCCACAGCGCAAACATCAAAGCAGGTGAAGACAGGTATTGCCCTGCTTATCTGGCCTATGGGGCTCAGTCTAATAGGCCTTGCTCTGAGCATTCCACACAAAATAGGTGGAGATGGGTGGGATGGGGAGAGGAGGCCTCCCTTATAACGTTTAGACCAGCGATTGGGAAACTCACCTGGAAGTGGGAGCAGGGCCGGTGCAACCATTTAGGCAACTGCGATTTGGGGGGCGCCATTTTCTTCGGCAGTGACCATGGTGGCTGGATCTTCGGCCGCCCCGGTCACTGCCGGCATTTAGGTGGAGGGAGCTGGGACAGTGGAGCGCGGAGAGGCCG